CTCTTGAGCCCAATATCTAGCCAAGTAGCCAAGGTGTGAACACACACACAAAAAAAAAAACCCTCAAAAAGTCTTTGAAGAGAATTAAAAGTGCTACTTCAGTGAACACACAAATGATAAGAAAGCAAACAGCCTTACTACTGATATAAAGTTTTAGTGGTCTGGATAGAAGATCAAAATGGCCACGACATTCCCTTAGGCCAAAACCTAATCCAGAGCAAGGCCCTAACTCTCTTCAATTCTAGGAATGCTGAGAGGGGTGAGTTGGCAGAAGACAAGTTGAAAGCAGAGGGTGCTTCATGAGGTTGAAGGAAAGAAACCATCTCCCTATCATCAAAGTACAAGGTGAAGCAGCTAGTGCTGATGCAGAAGCTGCAGCAAGTGATCCAGAAGATCTAGCGAAGATCATTCATGAAGGTGGCTACGCTAAACAATACAGTTTTAATGCAGACAAAACAGCCTTCTATTGGAAGATGTCATCTAGCACTTTCATAGCTAGAGACGTCAAGCCTAGCTTCAAAGGACAGGTGGACTCTCTTGTTAGAGACCAGTGCTCATTTATTACTCTGAAAATCCTAGGATCCTTAAGAATTATGGTAAGTCTACCCTATCTGAGCTATCAATGGAAAAACGAAGCCTGGATGACAGCACCCTGTTTATTGGTGCTGGTTTATTGAATATTTTAAGCATATTGTTGAGACGTACTGCTCAGAAAAAAATATTTCAAAAATACTGGTCATTGACAAAGCACCTGGTCACCCAAGAGCTCTGATGGAGATGTACAACGACATTAATGTTGTTTTTGTTAAGATTTTTATTTATTTACTTGAGAGAGCAAGAGCAAGAGTGAGAGAGAGAGTGCATGCGTGCACGTGAAGGATAGGGAGAAGCAGACTCCTGTTGAGCAGGGAGCCCAATGCAGGGCCCAATCCTATGGTCCTGGGATCATGACCTGAGTCAAAGGCATCTGCTTAAGTGACTGAGCCACCCAGGCATGCTGACATTAATGTTTTCATGCCTGCTAACATACATCTATTCTGTAGCCCAAGTAATTTCGACATTCTTTCTTTTCTTTTTCAAAGATTTGTTTGGGAGAGAGAGAAAAAGAGAGAGTGAGTGTGTTCCTGTGTGCAAGGGGTAGAAGACAGACCCTGAGCTGAGCACAGAGCCTGACACAGGACTTGATCTCATGACCCTGAGATCATGACCTGAGCTGAAATTAAGAGTCAGACACTGAAAAAACTGCACCACTCAGGCACCCCAACACTCCAAAGTGTTATTATTTAAGAAATACAATTGTTGGGGTGCCTAGGTGGCTCAGTTAAGTATCTGCTTTTAGCTCAGGTCATGATCTCAGGGTCCTGGGATGGAGCCCCATACCGGGCTCCCTGCTCAGCATGGAGTCTGCTTAACACTACCTCATTCTCCCTCTACTCCCCTACCCCTCGCATGCAAGTGTGCATGCACTCTCTTTCTCTCTCTCTCTCAAATAGGAAGGGAGGAAGACAATTTGTAAGGCCAGGGCTGCCAGAGTGAGTTTTCTGATGGATCTGGGCAAAGTAAGTAGGAACCTTCTGGAAAGGATTCAACATTCTAGCTGCATTCATGGGTGCCAGAAGTCAAAGTATCAACAGGAGTCTGGAAGAAGTTCATGTCAAACCTCATGGATGATTTTGAAGGGTTCATGACTTCCATGGAGAAAGTAACTGCAGATGTGGTAGAAATGGCACGAGAACTAGAACTAGAAGTGGAACCTGGGGGCACCTGGGTGGTTCAGTCAGTTAAGCATCCAACTCTTGATTTTGGCTCAGGTCACAATGTCAGGGTCCTGAGATTGAGCCCTGCATTCAGCATGGAGTCTGCTTATCCCTCTCCCTCTCTTTCTTCTCCTGTTCTCTCATTCTTAAATAAGTAAAATCTAAAAAAAAAAGTGGAGTCTGAAGATGACTGAATGCAAGCTCATGATATAACCTGAATAGATGAGAAATTACTTCATATGGATGAGCAAAGAAAGTTGTTTATTCAGATGGAACCTAAAATTCAAACATGTTTTAAAAAATACTATATTTAACTATACTGGAGTTAATTTTTTTTTTTTAATTCGAAAAAAAGGACAGCCTGGGTGGCTCAGTGGTTTAGAACTGCCTTTGGCCCAGGGCCTGATCCTGGAGACCCAGGATCGAGTCCCACGTAGGGCTCCCTGCATGGAGCCTGCTTCTCCCTCTGCTGTGTCTCAGATATAGATATAGATATAGATAGATAGATAGATAGATAGATAGATAGATAGATAGATAGAATCTTAATAAAATAAAATTCGGAAAAAAAAAAGATGGAATCTACTCCTGGTGAAAATGCTGCGAAGACTGTGGAAATGACAGTGATAATTTAGAATATTATATAAACTTAGTTGATAAAGCAGCAATAGGGTTTGAGAGGATTGACTGCAATTCTGAAAGGTCTACTATGGGTAAAATGCTATAAAACAGCATCACATGCTAGAGATAAATCATTTACAAAAGAAGAGTCAATGCACCAAGCTTCATTGTCGTCTTATTTTCTTAAAGGAAAAAAAAAAAGATTTTATTTATTCATTCATGAGAAACACACAGAGAGAGAGAGAGAGGGAGAGAGAGGCAGAGATAGGCAGAGAGAGAAGCAGGCTCCATGCAGGGAGCCGGATGTGGGACTCGATCCTGGGTCTCTAGGATCATGCTCTGGGCCAAAGGCAGGCGCCAAACCACTGAGCCACCCAGGCGTCTGCACTTTTTTTTTTTTTTTTAAGATTTTATTTATTCATTCATGAGAGACACAGAAAAAGAGAGGCACAGACATAGGCAGAAGGAGAAGCAGGCTCCATGAAGGGAGCCTGACATGGGACTCGATCCCAGGACTCCAGGATCACGCCCTGGGCTGAAAGCAGCACTAAACCGCTGAGCCACCCAGGCTGCCCTCCACTGTGTTATTTTAAGAAATTGCCACAGCCGCCCCAACCTTGCAAGCTACCACTCTGACCAGTCAGCAGCTATCAGTATCAAGGCAAGACCCTTCACCATGAAAAAGAAACCTGCTAGAATTTCAGATAGTAGCATTTTTTTAGGACTAAAATATTTTTAAGTGTACTATTTTTTTTTTTTTAAGACATAATGCTATGGCATACTTAGTAGGCTATAGTGTAAACAGGGCACCATGTGGCTCAGTCAGTTAGGAGTCCAACTCTTGATTTCAGCTCAGGTCATGATCTCAGGGTCCTGATATCAAGCCCTGTGTCAGGCTCTGTGCTGTGTGTGGAGCCTGCTTAAGATGCTCCCTCTGCCCCTCCCTGTCTGCTTGAGGTTTCTCTAAAACCAAACAAAAAAAGACTATATGTAATAAACGTAACTTTTATATGTACTGGGATAACAAAAATCTCATTTGACTTGATTTATTGTGATGTTTGCTATATTGTGGTGGACTGGAACCAAACCTACAGTATCTCTGAGGTATGCCTATAAAATGCCAGGAGCTAAGGTGTGGGGGAAATGTACCATGTTAGTCAAAAGGTACAAATGTTCAGTTATAAAACGAAAAAGATACGAAGATATAACATACAGCATAGTGACTACAGTTAATAATATGTTGTATATGTGAAATGAGAGTAGATCTTAAGTATTTCTACAAAAATAATAATAATAATAATAATAATAATAACGTAGGGACACCTGGGTGGCTCAGTGGTTAAGCGTCTGCCTTCGGCCCAGGTCATGATCCTGGAGTCCTGGGATCGAGTCTCACATCTGGCTCCCTGCATGGAGCCTGCTTCTCTCTGCCTGTGTCTCTGCCTCTCCCTCTCTGTGTGTCTCATGAATAAACAAATAAAATCTTTTTTTTTTAAATAAAATCTTTAAAAAAATTAATAATGTCATTTTATGAGTTGGTAGATACTTAATGAACTTCCATTGTGAAAATTATATTACAAAGGATGCATATACCTAATCATCACACTGTACATTTTTATTTTTTTAAATATAAAGGTTTTATATATTTACTTGAGACAAAACACAAGTGAGGGATGAAAGAGGGACAAGCAGACTCTGTGCTAAGCATGGAGCCACACACAAGGGTCAATCCCACAACCCTGAGACCATGACCTGAGCAGAAACCAAGAGTCAGATGCTCAACTGACTGAGCTATCCAGGTGCACCTCGTACATTTTAATTATTTTATATTACTAGGCTGGAGGGAAAAAAATATGTTTAAACTATAAACCTTTAGGAGTATGTTGAAAAGTAGCCTATGGTTCAAGTTAAGTGGTGACTATGTCAATGCATGCAAACCTGGCACAAGCAGGCACAAGGAAATGCTGGCTAAAAGGAGAGATCAAAACCTGGGATACAGGGGAGCCTCGGCTGGCTCAGTCAGTAAAGCATCCCAATTCTTTTTTTAAAGATTTTATTTATTTTTTTGAAGGAGAGCGAAGTCAAGAGAGATCAGAGTGAGAATGAGAGGGAGCAGACTTGCCATTGAGCAGAGGAGCCAGATGTGGTACTCGACCCCAGGAACCTGAGATCATGACCTGAGCCGAAGGCAGATACTTAACTGAATGGGCCACCCAAGTGCCCCTGAGCATGCAATTCTTCATCTGATGGTTGTGAGTTTAAGCCCCAAGGGTGTAGAGCTTACTTTAAAAACAAACAAACCAACCAATCCTGGGATACAGAAGTGACATGGATCTGTACACAGTGACCCAAACAAAAAAGAGAATAAGCATGACAGAATCCATTAAGCTCACTAAAAATCTACTAACCTTGAATCCTTTCCTAAGAGGGCTCAGTATACCAGGTATTGAGGCTGCAGGGGAGAGAAGAGGGCAGTGCAAATAAACCAGCCCTATCAACACAGCAACTACCCAGAAAGCTGAGAAGCAGGCAGTGCTCATGGTCCACATATGAGAGACACTGAGAAAAGGTGAGTGGGGAGGGAAAAGAGACAGTTCAGGCCACTGGGGAGGGTGAGGGCCTTACCCAGTGAGGATATAAGTGCAAAGTTCTCCAGCATCACATCATGGTACAGGAATCTCTGAGCCTCATCAAGGAGCCTCCACTCCTCCCAGGAAAAGTACACAGCAATGTCCTCAAAGGTCACACTATCCTGTTATGATGGACAGATGAAACCATGAACATTCTCTGAGATCCCACAATCCATCTCACTACACATCTATCCCATGCTCATCCTCCTTCAAAGCTCCCCACTTCAGAAATGCCAGGAGTAGGTGCACCTGACACCCACCCTATCTTCAGGTTCTCTTTATTCACTGTGTTCTGCCCTCAACATCAGGCAGGGGGAAGAGAGATGTCATCCAAATTCGTCCTGGCCTGTAGGGTCTCCTCTACATCGTCAATTCTCCCAGAGTCTCTACTTTGAGATTCCCAAGATACAATGAAATGTGGACTCCTGTTTTACCCTTCAGCCTCTAACACCCTGAGGCCTTTAGTTCCCACTTCCTCTTGTTGTGCACATTGTTCTGTAAACTGTACCTCTCTCACACCTTTAGTCCTCACAGCTGCACTCCCATAGCTCCACTCTGGGCAAAGCCCTGATTGCTGCTTTGAAGGGCTTCTCTGTATCCGATCCTTGCTTCAATACTAGACACCTAGAGGCACATACAGATTACAGATGCCCGTGACCCACTTCCACTTCTGTGGACTTGCTGTCCACTCAGCAGTCACAACTCCCCCACCCTCCATTCAATTTTTCCTAAAACCCCAGTCCTTAGAGTTTCCCCTGGCATCATGACTCTCACAAATGACTACACTGACCCCAGATCTTATCTACCAGAAAGACTAAATACCCCAGATCCCATCAAAGCTCACAACATTCCAGTGAAACTACAGTAATGAATAAAAGGAGGAGCCTGGCCTCAGTGTCATCTTGTCTCAATTATTCCCATGCCTCCATAGCCATCTCATGCCCACTCATCCCATGGAAGCCTTGATCATTTGCCAAACCATTCTCTCTCCCACATGGTTACCATGATCACGTTTCTCCTTCACCAGCATTTGTGTGCTCAGCAAGACCATCACTCCTCATCATGCACCTTCCTCTGAAGCTAAGGCATTGTCATGATGACCTGCATTTCCAAATATAAATGTAATCCACAGCTCTGCCCTGGTCCACACAATAATCATCACTTTTGGATATCTTTATCCAAAACCCCCTCCCCAGATCTCCAGACCTGTGAATCCAGCTACTTACTTGCTGTCTTCACTCACTGTTCTCTGAAACATCTCAGACTCTTAACAGAACCAAACAAAACTCTTCTTAGTCCCAAAGAAAATTAACCTACAATCAATCCATAGCAGTTGGATGGCTCAGCAGTTGAGCCTCTACCTTTGGCCCAGGGCATGATCCTGGAGTCCTGGGATCGAATCCCGCATCGGGCTCCCTGCATGGAGCCTCCTTCTCTCCCTGCCTATGTCTCTGCCTCTCATGAATAAATAAATTAAATCTCAAAAAAAAAAAATTCCCAGTTGATGGAACTTCCATCCCTTTAGCTGCTAGAACCAAAACCCCTGCGGTATTCCTGGTCTCCGCCCTCCCTCTCAACTATAACATCAAAAAATCTACCACTCTTCAAAAAATGGACACAGAGTCCAACTTTTCACCCACCTCTACAGGGACCACTCTGGTCCATCAACACTCCTCTGGATTATAGCAGCTGCCTCCTCCCTTACCCTCAAGATCTGTTATCTCAAGCATTTGCATACTCTGGTGTTGATTTGTGGGATAATTTCTCATATCTGTTTATATTAGCTGACAGCATCAGGAACACCTGCCTGGAACCCTTGGCCTGCACTCAAGACCCTGGGCTTGGGGTATCCTGAGGGTCCCCAAACCCAGCAACTGGAAAACTACCAAGGGAAGAGCCTTAAGACACCACAATCCCAGACACCATACTGGCGATGTCCAGACCAGTAAGGGACAGAGGCAACCTCCCCCTACTTTTGTAGGTTTTCTAAGTGCTTTCACAACCTTCAGAATTTGAGGTTTAGGTAAGGAAACCCGGGCTGGGTTCCACGAGATCAGGCTTCCTCCGCATCCCGCCCAGGCCTGGAACCCAGGGACTTCAGGCTAACTAACCCCTGTGCCTCAATCCTCAGTGCTCATACAAGCTCTGCGACCTCCAACAACTCTACTCCCGCTGCTTCCTTGTTTCATCACCCCCATTCAACCTGTTTTCCCTCAAGCAGCTTTTGGAAAGTTGTTAAGACCCTCACCCAGACTGTCCCTCTTTTTTTCACGACGTTCCAGGGTCCTCGGAACAGAGATACCACACCTCCGCTCGCCAGGCCCCGCGTGACGCCGCCTCACGCTCTCTGTTCCGCGAACGCAGAGTCCTCCCGCCTCAACCCCTCACCGCCACCCCGCAGCCTCTCTACCAGCCGGCCCCTCCCCTGGAGCCCGCTCCCGCACGCCAGTGCACCGGCGCTCACATACGGGCCCCCCCGCCCACCACTGTCTCCCTATCCGGGACACCGGGGCCTGGGCAGCAGGGACGCGAGCAGGCGCCCCGCGCTCGGGCCTTGAGGGTCTGGGGGAGAGGGGTGAGGGAGGGAAAGGGAGGCGGGGAGAGGGAGGGGAGAAGGGGGGGGAGAGGGAGGAGGAGGGAAGGCGAGGCAACGAGCGTTTACCTGCGCCGGGGCCCTGGGCACGGCCGCAGCCATCGGACTCGGGATGCGGGGCGAACACCGGGGCCGACGGTCCCTGTCCTGGCCCACGTGCGGGGCAGCCCGGGCGGCGTATTCAGCCGCGGACCCGCCTCTCTGCCGGAGGGGACAACTCCAGCGCCTTGACAGTTCCGTCACTTCGGTCCCGCCCTGGCACGCCCGAGAGCAGCAAAATGGCCGCCACAAGGAGGAGGCCGGAAGTCCCACCCCTAGGCGAGGTATTCCCGCGGAAATGATTCCATTGGCTCAATTCCGCGCACGATCTTCTGGGTAATGTAGTTGGCGGCTTTCTAGTGGCCCCTGCAAGAGTGTTTCTCCATTCTGACCAATCAGAGCATTGGCCATGCGACTCCTCAAGGGATGATGGAACCTAAAGGTTGGGCGGGTTGCAGAGAAGAGGATTTGCTCCTTGTGAACTGCAGTGAAAAGGCGTAATTTCATACTCTGTAAAGGTCAGCCTGCTCCAGAGGGTAATATTGTTTTTTTTTTTTTAAGTTTTTTTTTTTAAGTTTTTTTTATTTATGATAGTCACAGAGAGAGAGAGAGAGAGAGAGAGAGAGAGAGAGAGAGAGAGAGAGAGGCAGAGACACAGGCAGAGGGAGAAGCAGGCATCATACAGAGAGCCTGATGTGGGACTCGATCCAGGTTCTCCAGGATCACACCCTGGGCTGCAGACTGCGCTAAGCCGCTGTGCCACCGGGGCTGCCCCAGTTCCTTCATTTTATAGATCAGTATCATGAGAACTTGCACCTAAATGGCTGATGAGAATAATTTGGGGGCTATGTCTCTGATTTGAATGCTGCAGAATGGAAGAGCATGTTTTGTTGATACAGGACCCATGGCTCACTGTGAAATAATCACAGATGGCTGTATGTGATAGAGACACAGAAGGTATTCCTTAGGGCAAAGCCAACTGATGGACCAGAATAAGTCACTGAAAGGTGTGTTAGTCCTGAGAAGGGGTCTGTTTCCTCCTATGAATGCCAAGTGGAGCAACCCAGGTGAAGCAGCTGATACACTTGGTATGCAAGCCATGTGGGCCTGACTTTGGGATACTCACACACTGAATTATGCCTGTTGCCTAGGTCATGGTAAATGCTGTGCTTAAGGGACTCCTTTCATATGGGCACCCCATACAGACTTACTGTTAAAACCAAAGCACAAGTCAGGAAGCCTTATCAAAATGCTGTTTCAGCTTTTCCTCTTGGGTCTTATCGATAACAAAAACATTACATTAATTAACAAGAGTAGGAAAAAGCAGAAGACAGAATCAGTAGACTGGTTTTAGCAGGGCAGAAATTTTTAAACAGTTATTAAGGAATAAAGTGAACAAAACAAATATTGATAGGAATGGAACAAAAAAGGATTATTTTTTTAATTTTTTAAAGACTTTATTTATTCATGAGAGACACACATAGAGACAGAGAGAGAGGCAGAGGGAGAAGCAGGCTCCATGCAGGGAGCCCGACGTGGGACTCATCCCGGGTCTCCAGGATCACACCCTGGGTGGAAGGCGCTGCTAAACCGCTGAGCCACCCAGGCTGCCCTGAGCCACCCGGGCTGCCCAGGATTATTATTTTAAAATATTTTTTTCTTTATTTATTTATGATAGTCACACAGAGAGAGAGAGGCAGAGACACAGGCAGAGAGAGAAGCAGGCTCCATGCACCGGGAGCCCGACGTAGGATTCGATCCTGGGTCTCCAGGATCGCGCCTTGGGCCAAAGGCAGGCGCCAAACCGCTGCGCCACCCAGGGATCCCCCAGGATTATTATTTAAAGTGGTATTGGGGCACCTGGGTGACTCAGTGTTTGAGATCTGCCTTTGGCTCAGGTTGTGATCCCAGGCCCCGCAGGGAGCCTGCTTCTCTCTCTGCCTCTGTGTCTCTCATGAATAAATACATAAAATCTTAAAAATAAAATAGATATTGATAGGGTTAAAACTGTTTAAAAATTTTGACCAAGTAAATTTGAAGATCTAATTGGCTTTATTAAAGATTTATGAATGAGGCAGCATTCCATCTAGGAAGTAGAGGGCAGCTCCGGAGATATACAAAATGGAAAGTTTTTAAAGGCAGAGATGGTGCAGAAAATGGAAATTTATTAGCAAGGAATGCATTGTTTTAGGAAAGCTTGCCCTTCTAAGGGGAAATACAGGGGCCTATCAGGGGATTAATTCCTAGTGCTGGCCAGAAAATTCCTGTTTGGTTTGTTAAAAGTAACATCCCTCCAGGGATTGAAACTACAGTTAGGTTATGCATTAAGCCACCCGGATCACCTAGCTGGCCCAGACTGCAACTGTTGGACCCACTATCAATGTCATTTCTCTGGCACTGAGACTGTGCTGTGTCTGTCTGTCTTCCTTCCTCCCTCCCTGCTTCCCTCTCACCCTCCCTTGCTTCCTTCCTCTCTATTCTGTCCTTCCTTTCCTTCTTTTCAATTTTTAAAATCTGAGTATAGTTGACATACAATGTTACCTTAATATCAGGTGTATAACATAGTGATTTGACTTCTGTGCTTTCTCCTTGCTGCAAATGCTTTGTCTTTTACAAGAGATTGTGAACTCCTTCAGGTCAAGTACCAGATCTTAAAACCAAAGTTGTAGCAAAAAAGAATAACTAATACTGGTTTGGAACTTTTGCAACCATCATATTCACTTCCTCATAATGGCCATGTGAGGTAGGTGGGGGCAGAGGCATAATCTCCACCAGGCAGATGAGGAAGCAAAGTTTAGAGGGGCTAAGTAAGTTACTTGCAGTCACACAGCAAGCAAGCAGCATGGCCCAGAGAGGGCATGAGTCTTCTGCTGCTTGATTCTATCCTTGGTTCCACTACCCCTTGCAGTATCCCTTGTGCACTTCTGATTTCCCAAACCTTATCTAAGGCAAGTGACAGCCAATATTTGTTGACTTTATAATCTCCAACTTTACCCCGGGTATTGTCTTGCTGCCATTGTGGAATGATGTTTTGCTATTACAGCCTTGACCTCCATCTTCTATATGTCAGTGTTGTAGGCTCTGAGGCGCAAGCAAGTTACTGATGGTGGAACCTCAGAAGCTGCTGCCCAGTTCTTTACTGGACCAAGTGTGTGTCAAGGTCACACAGCTATAGAAAGATAGACTGCATTGGGACCTCACTCATTTGGCTACCCCTCTGGTTCTTTCCAGAGCTCGGTGCTGCCTCCTATGGAAAAAGCAGAGATGGAGCAAGGGAGAGAGATGCCCGTTGGGATAGGTGAGCCCTTACCTAAGTGAGACCAGGAACCCAAAGGTCTCCAGCATCACTTCCACTTACCGGATCCTTTGGGTTGTGTACAGCTCACCAGAGCTAAAGTCATAAACACCTGAAAAACTAAACCTAAGACATCCTATTGATCTTTGGGTTGGTGGGTGGGGGTCAGAGCTGTCACTCCTTTGCTGATAAATGACGCAGAGATGGAACCCTGAATCACGAAGGTGTCTTGAGGTTTGGTCTCTGTGCTGGGCTCAAGGAGGAGGCTGGCACAGCCACTGTACATAATGCTGTGGCCAAGAGAACAGCCCTCCCCCAGGGGAGGCCACTGCAGATGAACATGGCTTCCCCATAAGGACTGTGTGGGCAGAGGGCAAGTGGGGAATATGCTCATGATGGTAATTCCACAGAGAACAACAGCAGCAGTGCCTCCTTGGTCCTTGCCCTCCGTCTTCCCTGGGCTGAGGGCTTCATGAGCTATGCTAACAGGATTAAACACCCAGGTCTGGAGCTAATCATTCAGGTTTGAGTCTGGTTACTGGAATCTATTGCCTGTCTCTTGTATGGCCTTGGGGAGCCAACTTCATCTTTCTGACCCTGGACTTCCCTAGAAATACAATAAATAATCATTCCTATTCCCACCTTCTCAGGTTGCTGTGAGAATGAGAGGAGATGCTCACAACACATACCCTCGAGTCCTGACACCAGTAAGTGCTCAGAGTGCAAGTCCTTGTAACCCTCACGGGGGCCAGTGTAAGCACCATCATCACCTCGGAATCAGGGAGCTAAGACTTAGGGAACAATAGCAAGTTGTTCCGATTCCCTGGTGGAGAAGCCCTGCCTCCCCAATGGGTGGGTCAGCAGGTTTAAAGAAGCACCATTTCTTTCTCAAATACACTCAGGGGTAGAAGGCCTTTGGGGCACTGGGGAAATAGATTGCTTGGCCCAGGCACGTCATTGCAGAGACTGAAGCTGCTCAGGCCTAGAGAGGCCACAGGTGCAGCCATTGCACAGCGAAGTGGTACCTCAGAGCTCTTGACCTCCAAACACTATCCCTTACATGCGTTTTACACAGGCGGAACCTGAGGCCCACCGAGGGTGGGTAGTTTGCGCGTGTGTCCTGGGGATCTGGTATTCAAGCCCAGGGTGCGCCTGGACCCAGGGCTTGAAGATCCTGATCAGTATTTTATTTCTGTCTCTGTTGGGGTTTGGGACTCCAAAAACACTTTCTCCATCTTGAGTCTATCTGGTGCCCCCAGAGTCCTGCTCCAACCCACTAACCTCCATAATGATAGACCAGGAAAATGGGTGAACACTACAAAGCAACGGTTTATTGTATTTTTAAATGTCTGGACTTTAAAAGCAAAAATGTCAATAATGTAGATTAAAATTAAAAGTATATATATATGTCCATTACGTTATACATAGCATAAAAAAACTGAAAACAATGAGAACATACACTTCCAGTATTAAAAATGACTCCAAAAAGTTAAAAAGTCACAAAATGAGTGAAATTCCAACATATCTTTCACATTCCTTTGTAAAAGAATACTCACAATTCATAGAATAGGCAGAAAATATGAACAGACATTTTAGCAAAAATATAGATAGCAAATGCACATCTGAAATAGTCACGGTGACTCCTTATAGAAATGCAGTTCAAACACTAAGACAGCACTACACATTTATAAAAAGGGTAAAAATTAAGAACAACTGATCAAACTAAACCACTCACTAAGATATGCAGGAAATGCAACTCTCATACACTGCTGGTGAGAATGCAAAAAGGTATAATCGTTTAGATCACAATTTACTAATTTAAGTTAAACACTGATCTACTCTATGACTCAGACCTTCCACTGAGTTATTGACAAAAGATTAAGTGAAACACATGTCCATATAAATAATTACACACAAATGTTTGTATCCTTATTTTCCATTGGCAAAAATTAGAAATACCCAAATGTCCATAAACAAATTAATGGGTAAACTAATAGTGTTATACTCAAAAACAAGAATATTTCTCAGCAAAAAAAAAAAAAAAAAAAAAAAAAAACAAAAAACCACAAACCACCAAACACAAAACAAGCTACTTATATATCACTGATGATTCTACAATTATTTATGCAACATAAAAACAGGAAGGAAATAATTCAGACTCCTATTATATAAATCATAGAAAATAAGAGTTTTCTATTACAATGGAAAGTAAGTCAATGGTGACTCAGAGGACTGGGAAGACAGGGAGAGAAATTACTAAGAACATGAGGTAAATATGCAATGACACATATGCTCACTATCATGACTATGATGTTTCAGGGTCATCAGTACGTCAAAACTTATGAAGACTACATTTCCAATATGTACAATTTATTACATGTAAATTATACTTTAATAAAGCTTTAAAAAATGATTCAAGATTAAAAATCTGTCCAACTCTTTTTGGAAAATAGGTTTTGCAGCCCTACATTCACCGCACATTCTTGCCTTGTGGAGGCCAGTTTTGCTCAGTGAAAGAAAATATAGCAATCAAAGACTTTCCACTACAGCCAAAAAGACTGCTGACCGGGTCACGAAAGCCGCATCCCTGGTCTACAGATCCCTGCTTTCTCGATCTGTTTTCCTCCCTGTGCAGCAATGGTCTTGAGGTGAACATCACTAGGCTACAGGAATCCAAAATACCTTTCAATTCTTTCCAATGAAGACATAAGCTACACAAAATAGATATACCTGGAGGTCCACAGATTTGTGCACACACCAGCTCAGCAGTCCTCACTGCAGAAGTATTTCTGCGTGCACTTTTAGAAGAGGCACATTCCATATAATTGGCTGTAGTCCCCTCCACTATTAAGCCAGTGTTTCTGCAGTAGTTCTGGTTTCCCCCTGACCCTTATGGCCTTAAAACCAGTGACCACCACCTACAGAAATGTGGACATCAGGGCATATGGCTTTTTGCAGGACCTGGGGAAGAAGTTCCCCTCAACAGTGCTGGCATCCTCTATGATATCCTCTGTGAACAAGGGAAAAACTTTCATGCTGCTCCTAGAAGGAACTGAGGTTCTCACACCTGATCTCCTGGGGGTGACCTTGGAGACTCCCAAAACTCATTGCATCCGGTCTCAAATCAGGACCAGAAAACCCTGCAGTTTTCCCTAGGAAGCCATGGGGAATACAAATTTAGCAAAAACTGGTAAGCTAATTTCTGCCACCATATTGACACCTTGAGATACACAGAAAGTTTGAGACCCTCCTCCCCAATGAAAGTTGTTTACTCCTGCATGCTTATAGACCTCAAAATGTTTAATAAACCACATACATGGTAAAGAGAACACCCAAAATTAAAGAGGACTTAAACAATAAGGACTTGTTACTGTACAAACCAAACCAATAGGGGCTAGCAGTTTTTGAATTAGTGACTTGGAAGCTGGAAAATTAATCACACATATCTCTGGAGACCATGTCCCTGCAAACGGTGGTCCTAGGACAATATGGAGGTTCTCTAGGACAGTATGGGTCAGGTCCATGCCAGTTAGTCAGAAAAAAGGAAATGTGGGTCCCCCTAAGGACTCAGGTTACTCCTAATTTCCTTCAACCAATGAGAGCAGAGGTCATCTTCCCTGAGCACAATGGGGTGATGACTGATGCATGTTGTGGAGACATGCCAAGTGGTAGAAGTACATTGCTTTGGCCAAAGACTGGCAGTAATGTAAATCTGGAAAGAGCCCTAGGCAGTTTAGAAAATGCAACATAGCCACACTGCTTCCCACATAACTGAAACTTAAGGGAAATCTCCTTACTATTGGCATTTGGATATAGTAGATTGAATTCAGACAAATGGTGCCTCACAGAGTTTCCTCTGGTATCATTACTCTGAACAAGGAAACTACATTCCTATGCATCTAAGGCCTTTCTCCAGTGTGAACTCTCCGATGCTGAGAAAGATTAGATTTTCGACTAAAAGATTTCCCACATTCACTGCAGTCATAAGGCCTCTCTCCTGTGTGAACTCTTTGATGATAATGTAGGGTGGAACGAGAGGTAAAAGATTTCCCACACTCATTGCATTCAAAAGGCCTTTCTCCTGTGTGAACTCTCCGGTGAATAATGAGATGAATTCTTTGGGTAAAGGATTTTCCACATTCACTGCACTCATGAGGCCTTTCTCCTGTGTGAACTCTGCGATGTCGAATCAGTATGGAGCTATTGGTAAAAGATTTCCCACATTCACTACACTCGTAAGGCCTTTCTCCAGTGTGAACTCTCTGATGATAACCAAGGGCAGAGACAGAAGTAAAAGATTTCCCACATTCACTGCACTCATAAGGCCTTTCTCCAGTGTGAACTCTCCGGTGTTTAGAGAGGTATGAATTTTGACTAAATGATCTCCCACAATCACTACACTCATAAGGCTTTTCTCCAGTGTGAACTCTCTGGTGTTGATTCAACTGGGAACTATCCCTAAAAGATTTCCCACATTCACTGCAGTCAAAAGGCCTTTCTCCTGTGTGAACTCTCTGATGACAACGGAGGGCAGAGGTAGAAGTAAAAGACTTCTCACATTCTCTGCACTCGTAAGGTCTTTCTCCAATGTGAACCTTCTGATGATAACGGAGGGCAGAGCCAGACGTAAATGATTTTCCACATTCATTGCACTCATAAGGCCTTTCTCCTGTGTGAACTCTCTGGTGTATATTGAGGTGATTTCTTTGGGTAAAGGATTTTCCACATTCACTGCACTCATAAGGTCTTTCTCCTGTGTGAACTCTACGGTGTCGAATAAGTATTGGTCCATTGGTAAAAGATTTCCCACATTCACTACACTCATAAGGTTTTTCTCCAGTGTGAACTCTCTGATGATAACAGAGGGCAGAGCCAGAGGTAAAAGATTTTCCACATTCACTACATTCATAGGGCCTTTCTCCGGTGTGAACTCTCTGGTGTTGAGAGAGGTAAGATTTGTGGCTAAAAGATTTTCCACATTCACTACATTCATAAGGCCTTTCTCCAGTATGAACTCTTCGGTGTATGATGAGGTGATTTATTTGGGTAAAAGATTTCCCACAATCATTACACTCATATGGTCTCTCTCCTGTATGAATTCTTTGATGATAACGGAGGCCAGAACTAGACGTAAAAGACTTCCCACATTCACTACACTTATAAGGTTTTTCTCCAGTGTGAATTCTCTGATGATAACGGAGTGCAGAGCTAGAAGTAAAAGATTTTCCACATTCACTACATTCATAAGGCCTTTCTCCTGTATGTACTCTCCAATGTTCAATAAGATCAGATTTTCGTCTAAAAGATTTCTCACATTCAGTACACTCATAACTCACTTCTCCAGTGTGAATTGTACGTTGTCGAATAAGGATGGAGTTCTGGCTAAAAGACTGAGCACATATACGGCACACATAACAATTTTCTTCAGTGTGATTTCTCTGAGGATAAATGAGGACAAATTTTTGGCTAAAGGATTTCCCACATTTGCTGCATTTGTACTGCCTTGGCCCAGTATGAATTCTTCGATGTTGACTAAGGGTTGAGCTTCCCCTAAAGGATTTTCCACAGTCACTACACACATGAAGCCTATCACCATTGTGGACCCTCTGATGAATTATAAGTGAGGACTTGTACCTGAATGTTTTTCCACATTCAGGGCACACAAAACACTGTCTTCCAGTGTGGACACCCTTGTCCTGACCAAGTGTGTGTTTGGGACCAAAGGGTTTCCTGCATTCTTCCCAGGTGTTATGATGTTTTAAGCTTTGAGAAGTCACCCCAGACTCAGTGATTTTATTCTCCCCAGTATGAGTGGACTGGTGTTGGAAATGTTCTGAGGGGGCCAAGAGGTCCTCTTCAACTACCTCACAGGTGAAGGACTTTCCTGAATCATGGAAATTGCTGCTCTTCACAAATGATGCCCTGTCCACACTGCTTACAAAGGGTTTTTCTCCCACCTGCTGCTTCTCATGCTGCTGAAGGTCTGCACTGGAATAAATTTGTTTCACACATGTCCCATATTTGAAAAATTTCTGATTCTTTTGTTTTCCCTGGTGCCCAACCAAGTGGAAAATATTTCTCAAGACTGAACTACACATCTCACAGGGGTGGGTCTTCTGGGGAGACCGAGGTTCCTTCTGAGTCCAGGGCTGTGACACACCTACAGAAATGCTTTGTTCAAAGAGTGCCTCTGCATCCTCTACTCCACAGCAGCAACCTAAATACAAAGAAACACTTGTGAAGAACACATTGACTTTACCGGAAGAGGGCAACCCAATTATGAATATATAAATGAAAACCAAAAAAAAAAAAAAAAAAAAAAAAGGAAACCAAAGACAAACACGGTAACTATTCTTATGTCAAAGTAGACTTTAAAAAAAAAAAAAGTATACTTTAAAGTAAAAAACTGGGACGCCTGGGTGGCTCAGTGGTTGAGCGTCTGCCTTTAGCTCAGGGCATGATCCCGTGGTCCCAGGATTGAGTCCCACATCGGGCTCCCTGCATGGAGTCTGCTTCTCCCTCTGTCTGTCTCTGCCTCTCATGAATAAATAAATAAAATCTTAAAAATAATAAGAAAAATTTAAAATAAAAAAAGTCAAAAACTATCACAAGAGACAAAAAAGGACATTTCAGAATGATAAAGAAGTAAATTCATCAAGAGGATATAATAAGTATATATGTACCAAATATCCAAGCACCTATTAAGCAAATATTAACAGATCAGAATTCAGAAATAGACAACAATGCAGTAACAGTAGAGGACTTCAACAACTCAGTAGCAACAATAGACGGATGATTCAGACAAAAAATCAGTAAGGAAATGTTGGATTTGAACTGCACTTAATACCAAAGGCATCTAATAGACATAAAACAGATGCCTTTCAGCTGTAGCAGAATATACATTCTTTTCAATTACACATAGAAGATTCTCTAGGACTCTTACCTGTTAGGTCATGAAACAATTTTTTTTTTAATTTTATTTATTTATGTAGGCACACAGTGAGAGAGAGAGAGAGAGAGGCAGAGACATAGGCAGAGGGAGAAGCAGGCTCCATGCACCAGGAGCCCGACGTGGGATTCGATCCCGGGTCTCCAGGATCGCGCCCTGGGCCAAAGGCAGGCGCTAAACTGCTGCGCCACCCAGGGATCCCCCATGAAACAATTTTTAACATTTAAGAAGACTGAAATTATATCAAATTTCTTTTCCAACTACAACATATGAAACTAGAAGTCATTAACAAAAGGAAGGCTGTAAAATATCACAAACATGTGGAATTTAAACAACATTCTGAACAATGGGTCAAAGAAGAAATTAAAAAATATATGTAGACAAATGAAAATAGAAAAATAGAAACATAACACATGAAAATTTATAAGAGGCAAGAAAATCAGTTATAAGAGGGAAGCTTATAGTAATAAACGTCTACATTAAGAAAAAAGAGAAATCTCAAAACAACTTAATATCTCAATGTATGAGAAAAAAAAAAAAAAACGAAGGTCAAAGCAAAAAGAAGAAAATAACAAACACCAGAGCAGAAATAAATGAAATAGACACTAGAGAGTCACGTGACACCCCTCTCCGCGTTGTCTCCACTACAGCCTTCCGAGCTTTCACTGCCAGAATCCGGCGTTATGGCTGCCGGCATGCCCCGCGCGGCTTCTCTGTCCCCACTGTTCCCCCCTTCTCCTGTTCCTCCTGCTCCTCTCCGCTCCGCATGGCGGCAGTGGCCTGCACACCAAGGGCGCCCTGCCCCTGGACACAGTCACTTTCTACAAGGTCATTCCCAAAAGCAAGTTCGTCTTGGTGAAGTTCGACACCCAGTACCCCTACGGTGAGAAACAGGATGAGTTCAAGCAACTGGCTGAAAACTCGGCCTCCAGCGATGATCTCTTGGTGGCAGAGGTGGGGATCTCAGATTATGGTGATAAGCTGAATATGGAGCTGAGTGACAAATACAAGCTGGACAAAGAGAACTACCCAGTCTTCTACCTATTTCGGGATGGGGACTTTGAGAACCCAGTTCTGTATAGTGGGGTGGTTAAGGTTGGAGCCATCCAGCGCTGGCTAAAGGGGCAAGGAGTCTACCTGGGTATGCCTGGTTGCCTGCCTGCATATGATGCCCTTGCTGGGGAGTTCATCAGGGCCTCAGGTGTGGAGGCCCGCCAGGCGCTCTTAAAGCAGGGGCAGCACAACCTCGCCAGTGTGAAGGACACGGAGAAGTGGGCTGAGCAATATCTAAAGATCATGGGAAAGGTCTCAGACCAAGGGGAGGACTTCCCAGTATCAGAAATGACCCGGATCACCAAGTTGATTGAGAAGAACAAGATGAGTGATGGGAAGAAGAAAGAGCTCCAGAAGAGCTTAAATATCTTGACTGCTTTCCAGAAGAAGGGGGTCGAGAAGGAGGAGCTGTAAAAAGGCACTCCAGGTTTTCCAGGGTTTGGGAGTGGGGAGAGGGGAGAGTTAATCTGTTGGCTGTGAGAGACCCTCCTGGGATACAAGAGAGTGGTGGTTAAAGGGGTACTAAGCTGGAAATCTGAGCATACCTGGACATTGACGCTGATGTGACCATGTTTAGGACATTACTAGCGCCAGTCTGGTGTATAAACAGAGCACTTACCAGATGGCTTGTGAAATCCCCCCCTCAGAAGGAATTGGTGCTATAAAGAAGAGTGTACTGCCCAGGTCCTTGACAGGTGTTATTATGACCCAATTAAAGTTTCTGTGTTTTGGTTAAAAAAAAAAAAAAGAAAGAAAAGAAATAACACTAGACAAACAATAGAAGGAGCACCTAGGTGGCTCAGTGGTTGGGCACCTCCCTTTGGTACAGGTCATGATCCTGGGGTCCTGGGATCAAGTCCTGCATCAGGCTACCTGTGAGGAGTCTGACTCCCTCAACCTATGTCTCTCTCTCTCTCTCTCTCTGTGTGTCTCTCATGAATAAATCTTAAAAAAAAAAGAAAGAAAGAAAGAAAGAAAGAAAGAAAGAAAGAAAGAAAGAAAGAAAGAAAGAAAGAAAAGACCCATGAAACTAAGAGTTGGGTTTTGAAGAATATAAACAAATTGACAACCTTTAGTTAGACTAAGAATAAAAGAGAAAAGACTCAAAATCAGAAATGAAGAGGAAACATCACAATTGATACTGCAGGAATACAATCAAGAGACCACAATGAACAATTACATGCCAACAAATTGGATAACCTAAAAGAAATGGATAAATTCACAGAAACATACAACCTGCCAAACCCCCACCTCCCTCTCAAAAGAAAGAAACATACAACATGCCAATACTAAATAATGAAGAAATAGAAAACGTGAATAGACTCGTAATTGGTAGGAGAAATCTCCTAACAAAGAAAAGCCCAGGGGTAGCCCTGGTGGCGCAGCGGTTTAGTGCCGCCTGCAGCCCGGGGTGTGATCCTGGAGACCCGGGATCAATTCCCACATCAGGCTTCCTGCGTGGAGCCTGCTTCTCCCTCTGCCTGTGTCTCTGCCTCTCTCTCGCGCTCTCTGAATGAATAAATAAATAAATTTAAAAAAAAAAAAATGGGGGATCCCTGGGTGGCGCAGCGGTTTGGCGCCTGCCTTTGGCCCAGGGCGCAATCCTGGAGACCCAGGATCGAATCCCACGTCAGGCTCCCAGTGCATGGAGCCTGCTTCTCCCTCTGCCTGTGTCTCTGCCTCTCTCTCTCTCTCCCTGTGTGACTATCATAAATAAATAAAAATTAAAAAAAAGTTTATAAAAAAAAAAAAAAGAAAAGCCCAGGACCAAACAAACAGAACCATGGAGAATTCTACTACTTACTTACTTACTTATTTATTTATTTATTTGTTTGTTTGTTTGTTTATGATAGTCACAGAGAGAGAGAGAGGCAGAGACATAGGCAGAGGGAGAAGCAGGCTCCATGCACTGGGAGCCCGATGTGGGATTCGATCCCCGGTCTCCAGGATCACGCCCTGGGCCAAAGGCAGGCACCAAACCGCTGCGCCACCCAGGGATCCCTCTACTACGTATTTAAAGAATTAACACCATCTTTTAAAAAAAAAAAAAATCTATTTATTTTTTTAAAGATTTTATTTATTTATTAATAAGAGACACACACAGCGAGAGTGAGAGTGAGAGAGAGGGGCAGAGACACATGCAGGGAGCATGATGTAGGACTCGATCCCGGGACTCCAGGATCACGCCCTAAGCTGAAGGCAGGTGCTAAACCACTGAGCCACCCAGGGATCCTAAATATCTATTTATTTTAGAGAGAGAAAGAAAGCATGAGCAGGAAGAGGGACAGAGGGAGAGGGCAACAGAGAATATCAGGCAGACTCTCCACTGGAGCATGGAGCCTGACACCAAACTCAATCTCATGACCCTGAGATCATGACCGGAGTTGTAATCAACAGTCGTATGCTCAACCAACCGACCCGCCCAGGTTCCCCACCATCCTTCTTAAAGTTCTCAAAAAACAACAACAACAACAACAACAACAACAACAACAAAACTGAAGAGGGAACACTTCTAAACTCATTTTATAAGGCCTGATATCAAAGCCATTTTAAGACAACACAAAAGAAGAAAATTAGGCTAATATCTCTGATGAACATAAATGCAAAACTCTTGCAAATCAAATCCAAAAGCACATTACACAACATATACTACAATAATCAGGACTTATCCCTGAGATCCAAGGAGAGTTCGACATGTGCAAATCAAAACATGATACACCACCTTAAGTAAATAATGGTTTAAAGGGTAAAAATCATATAGCCATATCAACAAATGTAGAAAAAGCACCTGGCAAAATTCAATATCCTTTTATAATGAAAATCATCAACAAATCAGATACATATTTAATATTTTATTTATTCATGAGAGACAGAGAGATGGGATGCCAAATAAAGAGATCATTTGAAATAGGAAAAAAGAGAGAGAGAGAGAGAGAGAGAGAGAGAGGCAGAGACAGAGGAAGAAGCAGGCTCCCCATGGAGCAGGGAGCTCAATGTGGGATTAGATCCCAGGATCCTGGAATCACGACCCGAGCCAGAGACAAATGCTTAACAGACTGAGCCACCAAATAAGCAAAGAACCTCAACATATCTGACACGCCCACAGCTAACATCATATTCAATAATCAAAATCTAAGAGATCCCTCCCAAACCTCCCCACCCCCAGCATCAGGAACAAGACAAGGTGCCCACTCTCTTCACTTTTATTCAACATAATACTGAAAGTCCTAGCCCTGAGTAAGAAAAAGAAAGGCACCTGGGTGGGCTTAGTTAAGTATCTACCTTTCGCTCGTGTCATGATCCCAGGGTCCTAGGACTAAGCCTCATGTCCAGCTCCCTGCTCAGTGGAAAATCTGCTTCACCCTCTACCTCCCTTCACCCCTGCTCATCCTCACTTGTACTCTTGCTCCCCCTCTCAAATAAATATTTTTTTAAAAAAGAAGAAAAAGAGATAAAAGGCATCCAAATCAGAATGGAAGAAGTAAAACTGTCTTTTTCCAGTGACATAATCTTACATATAGAAAACTAAAGAATCTACCAGAACACTGTTAGAATAAATGAATTCAGTATAGTTGCAGGATTAAAAAAAAAAAATCAATATACAAAACTAAGCTGCATTTATATACACTAAAATAAAGCTCTCCGAAAACAAATTGAGAAAACAATCCCACTTAAAGTAGTACCAAAAAGAGTAAAATACTCAGGACACCTGGGTGGCCCAGTGGTTGGGCATCTGCCTTCATCTCAGGTTGTGGTCCCAGGGTCCTGGGATCGAATCCCGCATCAGGCTCCCCACAGGAAGCCTGTTTCTCCCTCTGCCTACGTCTCTGCCTCTGTGTTTCTCATGAAGAAATAAAATCTTAAAAAACAATAATAAAATAAATAAATGGTGATGGAAAGACTGGGTATCTACATGGAAAAAGAAAAAAGGAGATCCCCACCTTGGCTCTTAAAATAAGAGGGAAGGTGTAGGGAAAACTTGGCCAAGCCCAGCTAACTTGAGAAGCTACACTACTTATTGGTAAATGTGGACATTCTAGGCTTACATTCACTCCACCATCAAGATTTCCATATGTATTTAGGGGGACCAGAGCACTGTGATGAAGCCAAGGCTGTCGATATTCCCCACACAGACACTGAGGCACTGAAGAAACTTAACAAGAATAAAAGATTAGCCAAGAAGCTGGCCTAGAAGTATGATGCATTTTTGCCTTCAGAATCTCTGATCAAGCAGATCCCACAAATCCTGGGCTGAGGCCTGAATAAGGCTAACAAGTTCCCTTCCTTGCTAACTCACAATGGGAACACGGTGGCCAATGTGGATGAAATTAAATCCACAATCAAGTTCTAGATGAAGAAGGTCCTTGTCTGGCAGTGGTAATGGCCATATGAAGATATGAGCTTGTGTACAACATCCACTTAGCTGCCACTTTTCTGAAGTCAACGCTCAAGAAGAATAGGCAGAACATGTGGGCTTTATACATTAAGAGCACCATGGGCAAGACCCAGAGCCTCTACTAAGACACAGCTTAATAAATCCTAGTGTTGGGACTCCTGGGTGGCTCAGCGGTTGAGCATCTGTCTTCAGCTCAGGGTGTGATCCTGGGGTTCGGGATCGAGTCCCACATCGGGCTTCCTGCATGGAGACTGCTTCTCCCTCTACCTCTCTCTCTCTGTGTCTTTCATGAATGAATGAATAAAGTCTTAAATAAAATAAAAAACTAAAAAAAAATGGGCAAAGGACCTCAAAAAACCTTTATCCAAAGATTCACAAATGGCCAACAGGTACATGAAAAGATGCTCAACACCACTAATATAAGAAAAATGCAGGGATCCCTGGGTGGCGCAGCGGTTTAGCGCCTGCCTTTGGCCCAGGGCGCGATCCTGGAGACCCGGGATCGAATCCCACGTCGGGCTCCCGGTGCATGGAGCCTGCTTCTCCCTCTGCCTGTGTCTCTGCCTCTCTCTCTCTCACTGTGTGCCTATCATAAATAAATAAAAATTAAAAAATTAAAAAAAAAAAAAAAAAAAAAAAAAAAGAAAAATGCAAATCTAAATAACAATATGCCTCACACCTATTAGGATGGCTATTATCAAAAAGCAAGATATAACAAGTGTTGGTGAGGAATGTGAAAAAAAGGAAATCCTTATATAAAGTCGGTAAGATAAATTGGTACAGGCATTGGTAAAGAACGGAAGATCTTTAAGAAATAAAAATAGGGGTGCCTGGCTGGCTTAGTTGGAAGAGCATGTGACTTTTGATCTCTGGATTTTGAGTTTGAGCCCCACACTGGGTACAGAGATTACTTAAAAATAATGTAAAAAATCTTAAAAAAAAATTAAAAGTAGATCATATGGTTCAACAATCCCACTTCTCTGTACATGTCCAAAGGAATTGAAATCAGTATCTCAAAAAGATATTTACACTCCTGTGTTAATTGCAGCATTATTCACAATAGCCAAGGTATGGAAACAACCTAAGTATCTTTCTATGGATGAACAGACAAAGCCTGGTATATATACACAATGGAGTATGGTTCAGCCATAAAAAAAGGAAATCATGCATTTATGATAACATGGATAAACTTGGAGAACATAATGCAAAGTGAAATAAGTCAGGGAAAGACAAATACTATATGTTATTACTTATATGTGGAATTAAAAAAAAAAGTTCAACACCTAGAAGCAAAGAGTGGAATGCCAGGGGCTGGAGATACTGGTCAGTTACAAGATGATTAAGCTCTGTGAATCTAATGTACAGCATGATGATTATAGTTAATAATAATGCTATGTTGTATACTTAAATTTGCTAAGAGAATAGCAAGTGTTCTTACACATACACAAAAAGTAAATATGTAAAGTGATGGATATGTTTAAGTTCATTGTAATACTTATTTTATAATGTATATGATATCAGGTCATAACACTGTATACTTTAAATATATACAATATTATTTGTCAATTATACCTTTATAGAGCTGGTAAAAAGAAAAAAGAAATTTGAACACCATAAATAGAACAGTACAGAATAGTCTTAAAAGACAGTCCATGGTCCAGATAGGTAATGACCATGATAATTCCCAGCACAGGGAAACACAATGAAATGTCAGATAAAACAAAAGGAAACAAAACCAGGGACACAAAAGTAACACAGACCTAGAGAAATAACCTGGCCAGGGAGGGGATAAACAAGATGCCATCCATTAGTCTCACTCCAAGACTACTGAACTCATATTCTTCCTGTGAGGGTTCAGTACAGACAGTGTTGGGGAGAGAAGAGGGCAGAGCAAAAAACACAACCCTACAAAGGACAACATCTATCCAAGAAACTGCTGAAGCAAGCAGTATCTATGGTCTACATACTGAAAAGGACAGAGCATCCCCTGAGAAAAGAAGGGTCTGGGGAAATGTGAAACTTAGTTTACATCACTGGAGAAAGGGAGGGTCTTACCTAGTGAGGATATAAGTACAAAGTTCTCCAGCATTACATCGTGGTACAGGAGTCTCTGAGCTTCATCAAGGAGATCCCACTCCTCCTGGGAGAAATACACAGCAACATCCTCAAAGGTCACGCCACCCTGTCAAGAATGGGACAAAACCATGAACATTCTCTCTCTGAGAACGCATAATCTATCTCCCATACATCTATTCCACATGTATCCTCCTCTGGAACTCCCTACCCCAGAGGAGGTACCAGGCCCTATCACCACTGATGCCTCTTCTCTCTTCATGATCTAATTCACCACTGTACATAGCCCTCAGCAACAATAGGCAAGGAGGCAGAGAAATGCCATGTAAGCTCTGGGCCTGGCCTGGAGGGCTCCATCCCTTCTACAAACCAATTTCCCTACATCTCACAGATTATACATGCAAGATACAGCCATGTGGGCTCATGCTTCACCCTGAGGTCCCCAATCCTAGGGCTCTAGGGTCTTCAGCTCATACTTACTGTCAATGTACACTTCATTCAGTAGGCCAAACCTATCTCACATCTTTGGATCCCTCAAATGCACTCTCACTGCTCTGCCTTCTCCATACCCCATACTAGAACACCACAGACGCCATAAAAGTTCACCACAAAACTCTGGTGAACCTGAACAGTAGTGAATAAACACCAGGTCTGGACTCAGCATCATCTTGATTCAATTTCTACTCTGCCTCCATAGCCATCTCTCGTCCACTCATCCCAGGGAAGTCTTGGCCGCCTGCCAGATCATCCTCTCCCACACTGTTCCCACTATCAAATTTCTCTCTCGACATGCACCCTTTTCTTTCTAACTCACTAATAGCATTGCCACCATGACACCAGAACCTGCATAATCCCTCCTATATGTAATCCAAATCTCCACCCTCCTCCACACTATAACCATTATTCTTGGACATCTCCAACCTGGACCTCTCCCCCGATTCCCGACCTGTATGTTCAATGGCCCATTTGATGCTTTTACTCAGTTTTGAAATGTCTCAGACTCTGAACAGAGCCAAAAACTTTAAGATATTCCCAATGAAAATAACCTACCACCAACTTCCCATCCCAGTTGATGGACATTCTATACCTTCAGCTGCTAGGACCAAAAAGCCCAGAGATCCTCCCTGACTCCTCTCTCTCCCTCATCTACAACATCCAAAAGTCTACTTGGCCCTTCTTAAAAAATGGACAGAAGTCCAACTCCTTCCACCTCCACAACCACCACTTCTATCCATCAGTACTCGCCTGGATTATAGCAATTGTCTCCTCCTCGGCTCCCTGTCTCCTTCTTTAACCCCATAATCCGTTCTCCACTGTGCAGCCACATGGAACCTGTTAAACCTGGGTATCACCAACTCTTTCCTCCTAAGTTTATGACTTCCCTAACAGATGCCCAGGTTCTCAGGCACCCGCATTACAGGCCTGATTCTTGATCTCCTGCTCTTTGTTCTTAATAGAAAGAATGAAGACCTGCTATACTATTTCTAACTCAGGCACACCAAGTATTTACAAACAGGTATCTGTTCCTGGGATAACATTTTACACCTGTTTACATTGGCTGACAAACCGGGAACACCTCCATTAACCCTTGGCCTGCATTCAGGACCCTGAACTCGGGATATCTCGAAGGTCCCAGACCCAATTGCTAGGAAAATACTTGAAAGTTTCAGGCTACCAAAATCTAATACATCATGCGGGTGGTCTCAGAGCCAGCGAAGCATGGGAAACCCTCTCCCTCCTTGTGTAGGTGCCATAAGTGCCTTTTCAGCCTCCAGAAACTGTAGGAAGAGGAAGGCAACCAGCTGACCTGCTAATGGACTAACCTCTGTGCCTCGGTTTTCCTCCTACCAGATCTGCGACCTTGGACAAGACTCCACTCCCAGGGCCTGCTTGTCTTCAACACCCCCATTCCAATCCGTTCTCTTTAGCAGCTTTTGGAAAGCTGTTTACAGCCTCACCCAAACTGTGTCCCTCTTCTCTTCACGACTCTCCAGGGTCCTCGGAAAAAAGTACCACACCTCGGGCCGCCAGGCCCGGGGTGACCCCGCTTCACGCTCCCTGTTCCCCGACTGCAGAGTCCTCCCGCCTCAGCACCCCCTCCCAATCTCTGCCTCAGCCCGCCCCTCCACCGCAGCCGGCTCCCGCACGCCAACGCGCCGGCGCTCACACACGAGGACCCCGCCCACCGGCGCCTGCCGGTCCCGGGCACCCGGGCCTGGGCCGCAGTGACGCGAGCAGGCGTCCCGCGCTCGGGCCAGGTGGGGAGGACCCCGGGGACGAGCGTTTACCTGCGCTGGAGCCCTGGGCGCGGCTGCCGCCATTGGACTCGGGGGAGGGGGGGGGTACGGCGGACACCGGGGCTGGAGATCCCTGTCCGAGCCCACGTGCGGAGCAGCCCGGGCGGCGTCGCCGAGCTGTGGACCCAAAGATGTGCGGCGGGGACAGCGCCTCCTCCCGCCCTTTCTCTGGTCCCGTTACCAGAATCCAGACTCGGAGCTCCAGAACCTCTGACCGAGTAAAAGAATCAACGAGAAGCAGATCAGGATGACGATAAGCCAGAAGTCCCGCCCCGAATTGGTGCGCACGCTCGGAAATCCCTCATATTGGTCCCTCATTGGCTCATGACTGCGGCCTCCCATCGCAGAGTCTTCAGGGAGTTGTAGTACTTGCAAAGGGCGTTCTACCAGATGTTCCAGGAGGCAGCCTGAGAATGCTAGTGGTGCTCCTGCGTCAAAGCAAGGAGGGATTTTGCTCGTTGTTAAACGCGGCTTGGAGACGTTTTTCGACTATAGAGTTCAGCCTGCTCCCAGAGGATAAAAATATTTAAGATGCTCCGAAATCCTCTACCTACATCTCATTCGGTAGAATCGTTCAGACGTTAAGAGTTCACCCATGGCTGGAAACGTTCTGGTATTGTTCTTCAAATGTATATAGCCTGAAGCATTACTCAGTTTTGTATTGTGTTTGTTAGGAAGGAAAAAAAAAGACTTAACCCAGGCCCATAACAGAAGAGGAAGAAAAGGCATGTTAGGCTGCTGCCCTCAAGCTGGTGGGCAAACAGGATTTATTTCTGGTTCCCACAAAAAAGTCCACTACCTACTTCTTCAGTGATTTTTGAGAAGTGGAAGCAAAATTAGAAGCTCTATAATAAATCCTCTAAATTTTGTAAAAAGCTAATTTATACTGTGTAGCCTTTTAAAAAAAGATTTTATTTTTAGGGGCACCTAGGTAGGGCAGTTGGTTGACATCCCCTGCTATTGTGTTGGCTCAGGTAATGATCTCAGGGTCCTGAGATCCAGTCCTGACTGGGGCTCACTCTCATCCTGGAGTCGGCTAGGGATTAAAAAAATATATTTTATTTTAAAAAAGATGTTATTTATTTATTCATGAGAGACACACACACACACAGAGAGAGAGAGAGAGGGAGAGAGAGAGAGGGGCAGGGACACGGGCAGAGGGAAAAGCAGGCCCCATGCAGGAAGCCCGATGTGGGACTCGATCCTGGGATTCCAGGATCATGCCCTGGGCCAAAGGCAGGTGCTAAACCGCTGAGCCACCCAGGGATCCCAATTTTATTTTTAAGTAATCTCTACACCCAAGGTAGGGCTGGAACCCACAACCATAAGGTCAAAAGTCACATGCTCCACTGACTGAGCCAACTAGGTAGGTGTGCTTGTAGCCTTTTTATAATTGTATCAAGTATGTCCCCTAACTATCTTTTTGGATGTCCACTTTATTTGGTGAGGAAAACACATTAAATGACAATTGTGTTAGTCTACTAGGACTGCTATAACAAAATATTATGGACTGAAGTAGTTTAATCAACAGAAATTTTCTTACATTCTGGATGTTAAAAGTTGAAGGTGTCAACAGGTTTGGTTTCTCCTGAGGCCTCTCTCCTTGGCTTGTGGATGACCATCTTCTTGTGCTCTCATAGGGCCCTTTCGTCCCTGTGAACATACCCCTGGTGTCTATTCTTCTTAGAAGGAAATAGGTCCTTATGAAATAATGCCCCACCCTTATGATTTCATTTAACTTTGCCTCTACAAATGCTCTTTCTCCAAATATATATTCTGGCTTAGGGTTTCAACATATTAATATTACGTTAATGTTTTAGTGTTAATGAAAGGCAAATGACTTACTAAAGGCATGTAATAAAGAGCAACTTTTTAAAAGTATCATCCAGGTGCCAGTGGTTCACAATAATTACTAAAATAGACTTTGATAAAAACATAATTTCCAAAAACTTCCCATAAATACTGTAAATGCTTTTAAGATTTAAGACAAACCTTCAATTAAAACAGATATTAAAAAGTGGTAAAATGTAGTTTAATAAATTTAATTGAATACTTAAAATCGTATCATTAACAGTACTGTTTATCTCACCTGATTAATCCTTCACAAACCCATCATCTCCTTTACCAAAAGTTTTGATCATTCTGACAGTTCAGGTGTACTCTGATACCTGGTAAAGCCTCAACTACTTTCTATGCTGTTATTCTCACCACTGTCCCCACCATACATTGTACTACGAATGCACTGATCTTCCTTCAGCTCTTTGAATTCCATATGTGCCCTTCCAACTCAGAGTTTTCCCAGGTCTTTTTTTCCCTCTCCAAATGATATCCCTCCTTCCTGCCAACTATGCTTTGTTAATTAGAATGAATCTTTTTAAGTGTCAGCATAAATTTCTAATCAGAAGTGGTATTATACTCTCAAGTCCTATATTCTAAGTATTCCCAATGCTGTATCATAAAATTACTTGAACTCTAGTGAATAACATTATACAATTTTAGAAAATTATTTTTGAATGAGTAGCATTCCTGTTTTATACACTATAAGCAATATAGAGCAGTATCATGATCTTTGTTATTCACCTTTGAATCAAAATATCCAGGAATGTTTTTTAAAAGATTTATTAGAACACAAGCATGGGAGTGGCAGGCAGAGAGAGAAGCAGGATCCCCACTGATCAGGAAGCTCGATATGGGGCTCAATCCCAGGGTCCTGAGATCATGACCTGAGCCCAAGGCAGATGCTTAATTCACCGAGCCACCCACACACCAAAATATCCCAGAATATTAAATGACATAAAGTCTGAGCCCACAAACACATGAAGTTTACTGAAAAAATGGCAGATGTCCTAGAGAGAACTTTAGGAACTACACTTGAAGCATTTGGTTTTCTTGCCCAGCAGGCAAAATATAACTGAAAGACCTGGGTGTCACTGCCAAAGAGCATAAAGGAATGAATGTCACAGAGCCTGAAGAGACAAGAGTAGGTATTCATCAGACCATGGTGTAGGTTCATTATTAGGGTTATTAAAAAAAATAGAACAGTATAAAACAACAAACATTCACCAGGATGAGAATGGTTAAGTGGCTTTTGTCTCACAGGGTAAGAATGCTGCTTATGGGAAAGTCTAGGAGAAAGGATGTTATGTATGTGTTGGGTTCTCCGTTTGTGTCTGTACAGAAGTACTTTGGACTACTTGGTAGATCATGAAGCAAGAACATGAAATGTTCACAAAGAACAACATGAATGTGGGTGCCTGGGTGTCTCAGTCAAGTGTCTGTCTTCTGCTCAGGTCAAGATCCCAGGGTCCTGGGTTGGAGTCCCACATTGGGCTCCTTGCTCAGAGCAGAGTCTGCTTCTCCGTCTCTCTCTGCCCCTCCCCTGCTTGTGCTCTCTCTCACAAAAATAAATAAAATCTTAAAAGAACATAAATGCAATACTGTGATGATACATCTTTCTGGAATGCCTGAAAGACAATATCCATGAATTTTTTTTTTTTTGTATTTTTCCTTTGTATTGGTCCAGTCCATTCATAGCAATACATGAATTTAGTAGCAGTTACAGGACCCAGCAGAGGAAAGAGTAAAATCCAGTGCATTTTGGGGACATCATTCTTAGCTCCACCCACCTCATAATACTGAGGCAAAGCCTACTGGCCCGGAAGCCACCTGAGACAGATTCTTCTGGCCCTCTGTGAAAATAAAGGACAAGTATATGTCCAACATCACTCAGAAAATATTTCCTTCCAAAGCTGCCATTGTCTTAAGGAACTCCTTGGAGAGAAGCCCTAAGGAGTTGGCAAAAACAAATTGTTTAATCAAATCTCTTAACAGGTATCATTGGTATTCAGTCCCTTTGAATCTTTTTTTTTTTTCCTTTGAATCTTTTAAAATACCTTCATGTTGGGGGTATCTGGCTAGCTCAGTTGGAAGAACATGCAACTCTTCACCTTGGGGTCATGAGTTTGAGCCCCATGCTGGGTGTAGAATTACTCAAATAAAAACAAGAAAATAACTATGTTGGATATCTTTTTTTTTTTTTAAGATTTTATTTATTCATTGAGAAAGAGAGAGAGCATGAGTGAGTGGCTGGGGCAGAAGGAGAGGGAGAAGCAGGCTCCCCACTGAGCAGGGAGCCCGACTTGGAGCTCAATGCTAGGACCCTGAGATTAGGACCTGAACCACAGGCAGATGCCCAAAAGACTGAGCCACCCAGGCCCCCGTATGTTGGACACTTTGAAACAATTACACTTCACCCTTCCATCCAGTACATTTCCTGCTTCTACCACTTCTCACTCACACCCTTTACAACTCTTTTTTTTACAACTTAACTTTTTAAGAGTATTTTTCCCTCTGTTATCTCAATTCCTGTATAATTCTATTTACACCTTCATCTTCACAGATCAAATGTCATGAGCAAACTTCTAAGCAGAACAATCACATTTAAGATTTTGGTTAAAAACTCCTCTCACCAGATCTTGACACTCTTAATAACTTTATTTTAATTTTTAACTTACTTTTGCTGATTCATTTTTCTCCCAAACGGTAGTAATGGAATTCCTGAGGGCTCCATTTTTAGTCATCTCTGTCTTAAAAATCTATACACATTTTATTGGTGATTTCAACCAATGTCATGGCACAAATACCACTATAACCCAAAACCCTCCAAATTTCTATTTCTGAACATGTGCAAAGGGAGCATTTTACCCCTTAAATAAAGCTTTGGGACAACAGGAGGTCATCTCCTTTCTGGGAAGAGATTATTTCATGTCAATGCCAGGGCAGTGTTTTCCGGACTTGAGATGATCTGAGACACTTGTAAAATGATCACATTATTGATAACTATTAGAAGTGATTAAGTCATTTATTGAGAGAGAAACTGCCAGGTTAGAACATATCTAAAATGCCTGGAGGGGCGCGTGGGTGGCTCAGTCAGTTAAGTGTCTGCCTTTAGCTCAGGTCATGACCCCAGGGTCCTGGGACTGAGCCCTGCGTAGGGCTCTCTGCTTTTCCCTCTCCTTCTGCCTGCCGCTCCCCCTGCTTGTGCACTCTGTCAAAAAAATAAAATCTTTTAAAAATATATATTTTTAAAAATGAGCACAAAGTAGCTATACTTTTATTCATTGCTTCAATAGGTACATATTAATCATGTAATGTATGTATCAAACATTATTCTTGTATATGAGTAGTATCAGAAAGAAAAGTATCTGACAAAGAACCTGACTCTATTAAGCTGATGTTATCATCAGGAAAGACAAACTTCAGGAAAAACAAATAGCAAATACAATATGCAATATAGGGCTCCCGGAAGGTCACCATGCCTGCTGTTTTAGGGGAACAAGGGCCAAGCAGATGAACCCGGCCTAAGGCAGTGGTGATAAGCAGACGGGCAGTTTGCTGCAACACCAAGGAGAGCGGCAGGGAAGCGGGAACAAAACCACCGGGGGCTTGGCTGGCTTCTTCGGAGCCGGCGGGGCAGGTTACTCGCACACGGATTTGGCCAGAGTCCTGCTGACTGGTATGAACCCTCTGTCTCCTTATTTAAATGTGGATCCACGATACCTGGTACAGGATACTGATGAGTTTATTTTATCCACTGGAGCTAATAAAACCCGGGGCAGATTTGAACTGGCCTTCTTTACCATGGGAGGATGTTGTATGGCAGGGGCTGCATTTGGAACAATAAACAGTCTACGGCTAGGATTGAAGGAAACCCAGAACATGTCCTGGTCCAAACCAAGAAATGTACAGATTTTGAACATGGTGACTAGGCAAGGGGCACTTTGGGCTAATACTCTGGGTTTTCTAGCTTTGCTTTATAGTGCATTTGGTGTCATCATTGAGAAAACACGAGGTGCAGAAGATGACCTTAACACAGTAGCAGCTGGAACCATGACAGGCATGTTGTATAAATGTACAGGTGGTCTACGAGGGGTAGCACGAGGTGGGCTAGCAGGACTAACGCTTACCAGCCTCTATGCACTATATAACAACTGGGAGCACATGAAAGGCTCCTTACTCCAACAGTCACTCTGAAGATTTCGCCAGCTTATGAGTGGAGGACACTTTAGTAGTCATCCAGATCAATTTATATGTCAGTCTGGAGTTGCTCTCTCTTCCTACAATTAGTTTGAAAAATTGGAGATTCCAGTTTGCTGTGGTGAAGATCATGTAAGGTTCTATGCCTCCTTCTAGCCAGAGTGGAAGCCCAAACTCCTCTGGTAGCTGAGTAATGTGGTTCTTCCCTACCCTCTGAACTGGAAAACTACTTACAGGATTCAGGTCATGATTGTTGTCAGTACCGTATCACCACATTTATTTAATGATCTGAAACTGTAACGTTGCCTTGTATTTTCAATAAAGGGTGAAAATAGAAAAAAAACCCCAACAATATGCAATATATTTTCAGTTGACAAGGGCATAGACAGGAATTCCACAGAGGGAATTCCATCTCTAGATTGTCTTCAGACTAGAGCTGAATATCCTCTATTCCCTGGATCTCCAGATTGCCAGTTTCCCCCTCAGATTTGGACTTTCTAGCCTCCACATTTTTGCAAGTCAATTCCTTAAAAATCTCTCTCCCTTTCTCTCTTGTGTCTCTATTAAGCCAATATTATTGAAGGAAAAAAATATCAATTTTCTCCTTCCCTGTCTATATATTTGTTCTGTTATTCTGGAGAACCCTGATGAATAGTCTTTGAAAACTCTCTATGATCAGTACAAAACTGTACATCCCATGTACTTTCTTATTGGTTCTGGGGAGCAGGCTATACTTTATTTCATCAATAATTTCATGTCTATAGCAAATTTCTGGGATCTGTACAAAGAGTTACTGAACCCAAGTTCACCTGCCAGTCACCTGAAAGACCATTACTCATGAAAGAAGTTTTGATTGGATAAGAATTTGAGTTTTATTTAGGAGGCTGGCAACCTGCAGAGAAAGTGGACTCTTGTCAATTCTGAGGTTTCTGCCAATTCTGAGGTTTCTGCCTGGCCCAGGGGTTCTTTAGAGGGTTTTAAGGTAGTTATGAAGCAAAGGGAGTGCTGTGGCCTACAACATTTCTTAGTTACAGGCAGACTTGATGGTGCCAGTTACAAATGTTATCTCAGTGCTCGGGAGTTGTGTGAAGAGTCCGATTCTTGGTTCATGATGTGTAGGAGTACTCTGTTCACTCTGCAAAGGAAGGCAAGTTCTACAGATGAACAAATGGAGGTCAGTATAGTCATTTCTATGACGTGAAAGAAAACAGTATGCTAAAAAAAACTGATAGGCTTCAAACAGGCTTGCTGGCCTCTGTGGCCTGGGAAGTTCTGGCTCTTCACTCCTCAAGGTTAGTGGTCTGCAAATCTCAAATACATTAGTTCTGTTACAGATCAAGGACCTCAAGTCAGTAAGGAGTGTGTCAACTTGAAGAAACTTAACCCTTAGGACCAGCTGAAGTGGTTGCAAATGTGCTTCTCAGGATGCCTGGGTGGCTCAGCAGTTGAGCGTCTGCCTTTGGCTCAGGTCATGGTCCCGGGTCTGGGGATCAAGACCACATCAGGCTCCCTGCAGGGAGAATGCTTCTCACTGTCTCTGTCTCTGCCTCTCTGTGTCTCTCATGAATAAATAAAATCTTAAAAAAAAAAAACAAAAAACACCCAAAAAACCCAAATGTGCTTCTCACTTAGAATAATAAACACTTCATTTGAGGGACATCTGCGTGGCTCATTCGGTTAAGTGTCCTACTCTTGATTTCAGCTCAGGTTATCTCAGGGTCTTGAAATCAAGACCCATGCCAGGCTCTATGCTTACCACAGAGTCTGCTTGAGATTCTCTTTTCCTCTCCCTCTGTCTCTCAAATAAATAAATCTTAAAAAAATAAATAAACACTTCATTTGATAAAATAATGAATGAGACTGCCAAGCTTAGAAGGCAGGAATAATGAAGGTGTATAATGGTATTAAGGTCTAAGTGTTTCTCTGGTAGATATAAAAGTGCTTTAATGGTCCCTGAACATCAGCACCTGCTCCACATTTGTTAGGATTTCTAAAGCAATTGCCCCATTCTTTGAGCACTGACAACTTGGTCTGATCTGACTTCCAAAATTTAAACTACAAAGCTGTGAGGTAGGGATTCTCCCATCACTTCCACTGAAAATAAGAGGTGTCAGTTTAGTCCCTAAGTGTCCTTCCACAGAAACTGTATGATAAAGACAAGAGACGGGCAGCCCTGGGTGGCTCAGCGGTTTAGCGCCACCTCCAGCCTGGGGTGTGATCCTGGAGTTCCGGGATGGAGTCCCACGTCAGGTTCCCTGCATGGGGCCTGCTTCTCCCTCTGCCTGTGTCTCTGCCGCCCCCTCTCTCTCTCTCATGAATAAATAAACAAAATTAAAAAAAAAAAAAAGACAAGAGACAAGCTTGATTTTTTTCACAAATGACTGCAGTTCTAAATGGGGGTAAAAAAATAAATAAATAAATAAATAAATAAATAAATAAATAAATAAATAAATAAAAATAAATGGGGGTGAGACACAACCACAACTGGTCCAAGAGTCAAAGATCTACTGTGATCTCCATTATTTACCCAAATTTTGTGGTTCCGACTCCCATTTAAATGATATCTGATTATTTAAATTCATTTTGTAATTTCTTATAATTGCTCTATAATTTTTTATTTGTATGTGTCAATTTCATACACATTTTATCAGTTTTCCTTATTTTCTTCAATATGTATAAAATAGTTTGGAAAATTTTGAGATTTATTTGCATATACGTACAAGAGATGGTATTTCCTTTCTCCTATTCCATTCCTCATCCTCTAGAATGCAAGAGTTAAATTCTATCCATTGTTGAGCATGCCCCCAATGTATTTGTTAGCATACAGAGTAACTAATCTGTAGTTTACATGTCTAATGGTCCCTGTGTCTAATTCCAATTAATAATGTTATTTAATAGGGGCAGCCCCGGTGGCGCAGTGGTTTAGTGCCGCCTGTAGCCCAGGGCGTGATCCTGGAGACCCTGGATCCAGTCCCATGTCAGGCTGTCTGTATGATGCCTGCTTCTCCCTCTGCCTGTGTCTCTGCCTCTCTCTCTCTCTCTCTCTCTCTCTCTGTCTCTATGAATAAATAAATAAAATCTTTAAAAAAATCTTATTTAATAATTTATTGACTATTCTAAACAAGTAAAATACTATTATAGATTTGAAGTAAGTGAAGCTATGATGAATCCTAATTTGATTCTCTGAAAGCGTCTAAATTTTAGATGGCTTAGGTGCTATTAACTTAAATGTGGTTATTAAAACTATGTTATTGTTTCTTTTAACATAACCATGAACAGATACCTCACCAAAGATGATATATGGATGGCAAACAAATATATGAAAGGAGTGAAGTTACCAAATCATGAAAAGGCATGGAGGAAACCTGAATGCATGTTACTAAGTCAAAGAAGCCAATCTAAAAGGAGCATATACTGTTATAATTGCAAGTATATGACATTCTGGAAAAGGGTGAACTATGGAGACAGTAAAAGGATGGGTGTTTCCTAGGGGCTAGCAGGGAGAGAGAGCTGAATTCAGGCAGAGCACAGATTTTGGGGGCAGTGAAACTATGTATGATACTGTAATGGTAGATATATTTGTCAAAATCCACAGAATGCACAACACCAAGAATGAATCCCAATGTTAACTGTGGAATTTGAGTGAAAATGATGTATCAGTGCAGATTCATAGATTGTAACAAATATACCATTTTGATGTAGGATGTTGAGAGTAAGGGAGTCTGTGTTTAAGTGGGGGGGTGGGGAGGGATATATGAGAAATGTCTGTAGTTTCCATGCAATTTTGCAGTGAACCTAAAACTGTCCTAAAAAAATAAAGTCTAATTTAAAAAAATAATAATATGGATTTGATGATCTTCTTAGCAATGTAAAAAATTGATCATAAATACAAAATAAGGGCGGCCCGGGTGGCTCAGTGGTTTAGTGCCACCTTCAGCCCCAGGGCCTGATCCTGGAGACCTGGGATAGAGTCTCCCATCGGGCTCCCTACATGCAGCCTGCTTCTCCTCCCTCTGCCTGTGTTTCTGCCTCTCTCTGCATCTCTCATGAATAAGTAAAATCTTTTTAAAAATAATAGGCCAATTTTATTAATACATATTATAAAATATATATATTAAAGATTTTATTAAAATAAAATTTTATTTTATTAAAATATATACTTTTATTATTATATATTTATATATATTATAAAATATTATTTTTATTTATTAAAATAAAATCTGTATTTTATTTTTTTTAAAGATTTTATTTATTTATTTATGAGAGACACAGAGACAGAGGGAGAAGCAGGCTCCATGAAGGGAGCCCTATGTGGGACTCAATCCCAGGACTCCAGGATCAGGCCCTGGGCTGAAGGCAGACGTTCAACCGCTGAGCCACCCAGGCATCCCTAAATAAAATCTTTAAAAAATAATAAGTCAATTTTATTTTATTAATATGTATATTATAAAAATATATTTTAATTTCATATATAATATACATATTTTAAAGGCTTTATTTATTTATTCATGAGAGGTGCAGAGAGAGAGGCAGAGACACAGGCAAAGGGAGGAGAAGCAGCTCCATGCAGGGAGCCTGATGCGGGACTCGATCTTGGGACTCGATCTCTGGAATCTGGCATCACGCCCTCAGCTAAAGCCAAACGCTCAAACACTGAGCCACCCAGGTGTCTCTAATTAATACATTTTTTAAGTAAGCTTTACACCCAACATGGGGTTAAATTCATGACCCTGAGATCAAGAGTCCTGTGTTCCACCAACTGAGCCAGCCAGATGCCCCAAGCCAATTTCACTTTAAAATCTGCCTATTTCGGGATCCCTGGGTGGCGCAGCGGTTTGGCGCCTGCCTTTGGCCCAGGGCGCGATCCTGGAGACCCGGGATCGAGTCCCACGTCGGGCTCCCGGTGCATGGAGCCTGCTTCTCCCTCTGCCTGTGTCTCTGCCTCTTTCTCTCTCTGTGACTATCATAAATAAATAATAATAAAAAAAATAAAAAAATTAAAAAAAAAAAAATCTGCCTATTTCCCTCTAACTAGATTTCTCGGCCAATGGCAGCTTTTGAACAGAAATACTTTCTAGAATGATGTTGGATATTAACTTATCTTTATTTTCAGAAAAAGGGCAGGTTTTTCTCAGCATTACCTGCTTTCTGAGTGGCTTTCAGAACCCTAGGCATTGCCACAATACTTTGTAGTGGATGGAGCTTAGAATGATGTTTCCAAAGTGTCATTGGCTTCTGCTGTTTCCTCTCCTGCACCCTGCATCTCCATTAAATAAATTTACTGCTATGAAAGCAAATGGCTCCAAAATAACAAACAAAAAACTAATGAAAAACATACAGTGCTGTTCATCGGATATTCCAGAAATAGTATCTCACTGCATTTATGTATGTTGTCCTTCATTGACATTATATGCTCTGGCCTCAACTATAAAATGGCGCCAACTCCTTGTTCTGCTCATGCACAAGCACAAACCCAACACATTCATAGCCATGGCTATTCCCCCAGACCTTTCTGTGAAACCAAAGCCTCAAGCTCCATTACCATATTAATGGAACAAAAGCCAATCTCGGGCAGCCCAGGTGGCTCAGCGGTTTAGCGCCACCTTTAAGCCCAGGGCCTGATCCTGGAGACCTGGGATCAAGTCCCATGTCGGGCTCCCTGCATGGAGCCTGCTTCTCCCTCTGCCTGTGTCTCTGTGCCTCTCTCTCTCTCTCTGTCTCTCATGAATAAATAAATAAAATCTTTAAAAAAAAAAAAAGCCAATCTCATCCTGATGAATATGTTGGTCTTTTACTTTCTTCCACTTATCTTTTTGAATAACCCTGGTTATGAACCTATAACATGGTCTGACAAACACCTCTACACTGTTCTCTTCAGGCTCCCCGACATTCATCCCTTCATGCTCTTTGACAGTGACACATGGGTCTCTCAGTTCTGCTTTACCTGCTGGGTAAGAAAAACAAATGTTCCAAGTACAGTCTCTAGGCTCAAGTTCCCTCTAGAACATCCTAGTATTTATTTAATCAACTTTATATATTTATCGACTCACATTTCATGTCAGTCTTCTAGGATAATTTGTTTTTTTTTTTTAAAGATTTTATTTATTTATTCATGATAGTCACACAGAGAGAGAGAGAGAGAGAGGCAGAGACACAGGCAGAGGGAGAAGCAGGCTCCATGCACCGGGAGCCCGACGTGGGATTCGATCCCGGGTCTCCAGGATCGCGCCCTGGGCCAAAGGCAGGCGCTAAACCGCTGCGCCACCCAGGGATCCCCTTCTAGGATAATTTGATTCAAAATTCAGTAACAGTGATAGTAAATCTGTTTCATCTTGCTTATAGTGTAGACAACTATAAGCCACATCTTGAAAGGTCACACTGTCCTGCTATGATGATGACAGATAAAAATCAGTCTACTTCCGAGGAGCCATAATTCCTTCCCCCACACATCTACCCAATGACTATCCATCTCCCAAGCCTCTCAATTTAGAAATCATGCTGTGGTATCAACACTGTTGTTGTTTTCTCATGGTCCCATGGTCCCATTGAACACTGGGTTCAACCACCAGCAAGAAACAGGTGGACAAATACATATCTAAGCTGTGGGCCTGGCATATAGGGATCCATGACCTCCTGACAAGCAATTCTCCTGATACAGTCACTGTCATGTATCTATCAGTGCAGGGCCCTGGGACCATCTGACAATGCTCCCTCTCCAAGTATACATCATTCTTTAGACTGCATATCCCTCAATGTCCATATCCTACAGCTGACTGACTACAGCTGCCGCCACCTTACCCTCTTCCATATGCATCTGCCTGACCTACCCAGATGTTACTGCTTCCTCCTGACCCAACTCTTAGATTATAGTGATGGCCAAACACGTGACACCTAAGACTAGAAAGATAAGCCTGACAGAAGTTTATTTATCACATAAATTCACACCTCCAAGAATAGGATATTACTCACCATAAAGGCCCACATGGGAGCTGAATTCTGAAAAAGAGTGAACAAACTGGGGATGCGAGATGCTCTCCTTGAAGGATGAAAAGATTGGGAGTGCTCTGAATCCCTCAGGAAGATGTGACTGGTTTGTTTGAATAAGTCTGTTTGCTGGTGGGGGACTGGAACCTGATACAAAGAGATGACCAGGAACAGCACCATGTTCCCTTTTTGAAAAAGGTCATGAGGCTAGGAAATGTTACCCATGAAGCAGTGCGGGGAGATGGCACTGAGGCCATCTGAAAGCATTTGGTATCACCAAACATCAAGGAAGCACATCATAATAGGGTTTAGGTCTTATGCCACAATTTGCTAGATAGCATCCACAGTATACTTGGCAAATTCAAAGAGGATCCCATGGGTCCCAAATCATTTTATGAAGGCCTCACTCTGTGGCTTTGATCCTTGCCTTAGATTTAGATACACAGAACCATGTATGGATCTCAGATATGCATAGTTCAATTCTATTTTCTTAATGCATTTGCTGTCACCTCAGCAAATAAAAATTATCTCTGCCCCCAACCATCATTCCAAGACCACTCCCATTAATTGCCCATTGGAGGCCTAGTGATTCTCAGAGGTGATTCTATTTTTTCTCTGACCAGGCTGAAACACTTCATGTCCCACCAAAGTCCCCACAATATCATGCTAAGTCTAAAGAGTGGCTAAGAAGTACCAGCTCTGTCCTAAGTGTCATCTTTTGTCCATTACCCCTTGTCTCTGCAACCATCGCAAAGCTACTCTCCCCCTGGAAGCTTTGGCCACCTACCAGACTTTCCTGTCTGATACACCAAAAGTTCATGTCCACTTACCTACATTTGTGAAGCCCCATACCCAGGGCTCCAAGGTAACCCAGGTAACCAAGCAAGAGATCCAGGCCTGGGCCCCCACTCTCTACACCTGGCTCTTGAAGAGCTTTGCCACCACAACCTCAAGTTTGCCTCAGTGCTTACTCATATTGGTCCACACTGTAGTTACCACATTTTGGATGTGTCTAACCTGAATCCCTCCCCAGACTTCCCACCCTGTATATTAGTTGTTCATCTGATGCCTCTGATCAGTGATTTTTGAAACACCTCAGACGCTTAAAATGGTCAAAACAAAGCTCCTGATATCCTCAGTGATACTGACTTGCCCATTTGAATTTTCTACCAGCTAGATCCCAAGACCTAACTTTACTTCTCACCTGCTTCTAACCACCAAACTTTGTCCCACATTTTTCCTTAGTCTTCTCTTAGCTGATGTCCTATCTCAGGCAAAAGACCCAAGGGGCATAACATCCCAGGATGGAAACCAAACTACCTCTCAAGTAATAACAACTGCCTGGACTAAAGAGTTCTGGCCTCTCTGGTGGCTCAGACCACCCAGACCAATTTGAGCTTAACTCCGGACTCATGCCTGTGCAGATGGGCTAGAGAGTGATTAACAGTTAACTTTACTTCATTACAATGCTATAAATCATGCTCAGAGGTGGAAACAATTGCAAATGAAACAACGTATGAAGAAGCATGTTCTGACAACTATGCTTGAGCACCTAACTCCTTGTAATTCATTCCCTCTACATGCTTGGATGTCACTCTTCCTCTGCCCTAGGTCCTTAAAACTTTCCCTATTTTTGGAGAGCCAATCTGACACCTTTGTTGTGACTAAGTCTCCCTTCTGTTGCAGCTGTTGCCCCAATAAAGCCTTGTCTGTTTTTAAATTGTAGGTCCAGCCTCGTTTCTACTGTCACTGTGTCCAAGGACCGGAGTCCAGTAACACAATGATGCAACTTCCATTCCTACAGCTACTTAAGACCAAAAGCTCTGAGATCATCCCTGATTATCTCTTTCCTTCCCTCACTGTCCATATCAGAAAGTCTAGCTGCCCCTTTTATTTTTTTATTTTTTAAAAGATATTATTTATTTATTCATGAGAGACAGAGAGTTAGAGGCGAGACATAGGCCGAGGGAGGAGAAGCAGGCTCCATGCAGGGAGCCCAATGCGGGACTTGATCCCAGGACCCCAGGATCATGTCCTGAGCCGAAGGCTGCCCCTTTTAAAAACAGCCAGAATACAACCATTTCCTAAGCAACAACCCTGGTCCATTAACTCTCACCTGGACTATAGCAGTAGCCTGCACAATGATTGTTCTTACTCTCTCAAGCCCATAGTCTGTTTTCCACTGTAAAGCCAGATGAAGCCTTTTAAGACTCTGGTAACATCACCTCCTTCCTGTGACTGAAAACTCTTATTACTTCTAGATTACACACCTAACATCTCAGGCAGTTGCTCTTGACAGGACTCCTATCCATTTGCTATTTATTCCTACCTGAAAGAAAGGAGATCTGTGGCTTTTGAACATACGATGGTTACTAGAAAAGGGAATGCCTACATATAACAGCTGACACAGACTTAGGACCCTGGGCTTAGGGATTCTCCATGCCCACCAGACTCAAGGAGGGAGGAATGGGACGAAAAACCCCAGGACACCACAATCCAGAGAACATGAGGGCGAGAGGTTGGGGCCAGTGAGGGACTGGGGCATTATCCACATCCCTCTATAAGTTCCAAGCACTTCTCCAGCCACAAGAACGTTTGCTGAGGCAGGTCTTTAAGAAATGTGTCCATGGTGGGATTCCACAGACTCACTCTATCTCTGCCTGACTCTGATCAGCCAGCTGATCGCAGGCTGGTTTCTACTCTCTGTGCCTAAGTACTTAATTTTGCCTTTTACCAGTAGTGTGACTTTGAACAAAGACTAACCTTCCCAGGGCCTCAATGTCCTCATCACTCCTCACCCCTCACAGAGATCCTGTCCCTCCTTTGGCCAAAACTCCAGGCGTTCAGAGTCCTCACCGGAAGATACCGCACATCTCGGGCCGCCAGTCGCGGCGTGACCTCGCCTCACGCTCCCCCGCAGCCGGCTCCCTCACGCCAGCGCGCCCGCGCTCACACGCGGGGTCCCCGCACACCGGCGCCTCCCTGTCCCGGACACCCGGGCCGGAGCCGCAGGGACGCGAGCAGGCGCCCGGCGCTCGGGCCTTGAGGATCTGGGTTGGGGGCAGGGCGGGAGGGTCCGGGGGACCAGCGTTTACCTGCGCCTGGGCCCTGGGCGCGACTGCCCCCATCGGACTCGGGGGGCGGAGTGAAGTGATGACAGCTGAGCGACCCGGTCAGTCCCGGGCACCAAGGTTTCCAGGGCGGCGTAGCAGGCAGTGAATGTGCCCGACACTAGACCCACCTCCTTACAGTGGGGACAAAGCCTCCTTTAGCCTCCGACCTCGCCCTCAACAACCTCCCACACGGTGAAGAAATAAGCAAGAAGCCAACCGGACGCCGGAAGCCCCACCCTCATCCTTTGGGGGAATTGGAAACCTCTTTTCTAAGCCTTCATTGGCTCAGCGACGCTGCCTTCAACACAGGGCGTTCTGGGAAATGTAGTTCCCATATATTCCCAAGGTCTAAGTAAGAGGGTTCCCCATCTGGCCCCAGGAGAAAAGGCCAACATTTACTGAGAGCGGCTTTGGGAACTGGAAGGCCATTGCTCAAAGATTAAGGATTGGCTGCCGCTCTTTAAAGGGGCCATATGCAGATATCTGGAGACTCATCACGTAGGCGTCCAGGCCATGAATGACAATGACAAATCTCTACCAGGAGGCCCTGTGCAGCAATGCAAATTTGCCCAAAACGGTGCGTTTTCTCTTTCTTTCTTTCTTTCTTTCTTTCTTTCTTTCTTTCTTTCTTTCTTTCTTTCTTTCTTTCTTTCTTTCTTTCTCTTTCTTTCTTTCTTTTTTATTTTTTATTTATTCATGAGAGACACAGAGAGAAGCAGAGACATAGAGGGAGAAGCAGGCTTCCTGCGGGGAGCCCAATGCGGGACTTGATCCCAGGACCCTGGGATCAAGCCCTGATCTGAAGGCAGATGCTCAACCACTGAACTGCCCAGGCGTCCGGAGGTGCCATTTTCTGCCATACTGACAAAAAATTATAATGCGTGCAGGGCCCAAACCTATTATAAAGCACTGCATAGTGACTAGAACCCTCCAAATTTAGAGAGGATTTAAATGATAAGGGCTTTCAGGGATCCCTGGGTGGCTCAGGGGTTTAGCGCCTGCCTTTGGCCCAGGGCCCATGATCCTGTAGTCCCGGGATGGAGTCCCGCGTAGGGCTCCCTACATAGAGCCTGCTTCTCCCTCTGCCTTTGTCTCTGCCCCTCTCTCCCTTTCTCTCTAATGAATAAATAAAATCTTTAAAAAAAATAAATGATAAGGACTTTCTTTCTGTACAAACCAAAGTGTGGTAGGCTATTCTCAGGTTGGAGACTTGGGAACTGGATAAATGCACTACAGGAATATCATGTGAGACAAACATGCTTGAAAAAGATAGTTTTGAGCGAGCTGCCAGTAAAATTCATTTGGTGTCTTGGCCAAAACTGGGTGAGGTCCTTGCCAACTAGTCAGAGGGAAGGGAACATGGACCTTCTAAGGGCTCATGTTATTCCTACTTTGCTCCAATACAAGACAGATGTCAGCTTCCCTGAGTGCACTGTGGTGGTGACTGACACTGTGGGGACCTGCCAGGTGGCAGAGATGAAGTAGGTCTGGCTGCAGACACTGGAAGTGACATCAATATGCAAAAAGCCCTGGGCAAGTTAGAAAGTGCAACATAGCCATACATGCTTCCTACATAAATGAAATTTATGGGGAATTTTCCCTTTATGGAGGTTTAGATGTATGAGATTCAAACCAGGCAGATGACTACCCACAGAGGCTTTTTTTTAAGATTTTATTTATTTATTCATGAGAATAGACACAGAGAGAAAGAGAGAGAGGCAGAGATAGGCAGAGGGAGAAACAGGCTCCATGCACGTCATCGGGGGAGACAGGACCTATGCAGGAAACCTGAACCGTAATTTACCCAGACCCCATATAAGGGCATAGGCAGTTATTGCCCAGGCCGATTTCACCAGTAATATGCCTAATACCTATCATACCATACAGGCTCACAACCTCTTACCCCTCCCTTAAAAAGCCCGCTTGCAGTCCCCTGCCCAAGACTTCCTCTGCTCTCTCCCTTCCTGGTGGACCGCAGAACCTCGCCCAAGAGCATGTCCCATTAAAAGTCTGTTTCGACCAACTTTTGCCTGGCCTATTTCATTTCACTACGGATCGGATTAAAACTGACATAGTATGTATTGATGTTACTGGAGGAATGCATCTACACTGATTTGTTGAATTAGAATCAATTGAATTACTCAACTGAAATGTAACCAGGGGATGCTTTTCAAGAAATGGGAGTGGGTTTCTGGTTGCAGAAGACTGCTGTATATTACTGGACCCATAAGGTCACAGAATGGTAGTGGCCTCACCAGGAGAACACAAGGACAGGGTGTGGCACAGGGAAGCAAGGCAAATGTACAACTTCTTCCACCTGCTGGTGACATTTAAGGCTATGCAGAGGTCGGGCAGCTGGGTGGCTCAGCGGTTTAGCGCCGCCTATGGCCCAGGGAGTGATCCTGCAGACCCGGGATGGAGTCCCACGTTGGGCTCCCTGCATGGAGCCTGCTTCTCCCTCTGCCTGTGTCTCTGCCTCTCTCTCTGTGTGTGTCTCTCATAAATAAATAAAATCTTAAAAAAAAAAAAAAAGGCTATGCAGAGGTGTGCGAAATCGCAGGACAATCTTATTGCAACAAACAAGTGGGAGTTCAGGGCCAATATCAGGATATGTGTATATTTCAGGACATTCCATACACAGGCCAATGTTGCAGAGCACCTCAGGAGTGGTGAGAGGGATGGGTAGGATGTGGAATACAGAGAGGGGGAGATTTTCCCTGGGCTTCAACAAGTCAGTAAAATATCAACAATGCAAAGACAGAAATGGGGTGGGCCCCTGGCAATGGCACCAAAACCCTGGTTGAACAAGACATGTTGCTGGTGTCTTCTGAACACAGCCCTGATATCACACTCCCCCAGCTGCCAACTGCCATCTACCAAGGCCGGCCCCCTGAGCCCACCCTGCCATGGCTTGGGTTACGTCCAACCAGGGATGCAGAAAGAACTCTTCCCCAAGTCCTTTTTTTTTTTTTTTTAAGATTTTATTTATTCATGAGAGGCACAGAGAGAGAGGCAGACACACAGGCCAAGGGAAAAGCAGGCTCCCCGCAAGGGGCCTGATGCCCACATCAGGACTCGATCCTAGATCCTGGAATCCAGCCAGGCGTCCTTCTTCCCCAAGTGCTAGTGGAGCAAATATGTGGGACGTGGACAATACAAGCAGTGGAGGGAAAAAATGCCAGATGAGTAGCTAGTATTGGGCCAAGACAAGTCAGCACACAACAGACCACAGAAAAGAGATCTAAACACTACAAAGAGAACTGAGTGGGAGGCTTGAAAAACAGCTCATGGTCCAGGTAGCAGCAACCATGAGAATACAAGTAATTCCTGGCACAAGCCAGTACAAGGAAATGTCCGCTGAAATAGGGAGCAAAACCTAAGGAACAGAAGACCTAAACCGAGCCACCAGCCAGGGACAGGGCCAGCATAGTAAAGTCCTCACACTCACTATAATAGCACTGATGCTGAATCTTTCCTGTGAGCCTTCTGGGCAGATGTTGGAGCTATATGGGAGGGCAAACAGTCCAACCCTGTCAACCACAGTACCTGGCCCAGGAACTGGGGATGAAACCGTGTCTGTGGGGCAGCCCCGGTGGCACAGCGATTTGGCACCACCTGCAGCCCGGGGCGTGATCCTGGAGACCCAGGATCGAGTCCCACATCGGGCTCCCTGCATGGAGCCTGCTTGTGTCTCTGCCTCTCTCTCTGTCTCTCTCTCTCTGTGTTGCTCATGAATAAATAAATAAAATCTTTAAAAAAACATATTAAAAAAAAAGAAACAATGTCTGTGATGCCAATGTGAGAAGGACAGAGCACCCCGTGGGGAAAGTAAGGCTGGGGAGGGGGGCGATATGAAGCCTAGATCAAGGCGCTAGGGATGGTATGAGTACCTTGCCCTTTCAGGATATAAGTGCAAAGTTCTTCAGATTCATACTGTGGTACAAGCATCTCTGAACCTCATCCAGGAAACCCATTCCTCCCACAAATATACAAGCATGGCCTCAAATTTCATAGCACCTGTCATGATAGGGACAGATGAAATCAGGAGTAGCCTCTCTGAGGTCCCACAATACAATACAAACTCATCTTCTTGGGACACCTCAGTGATTGGGCGCATCTGTCTTCAGCCCAGGATGTGATCCTGGAATCCCGGGATTGAGTCCCGCATAGGGCTCCCTGCATGAAGCCTGCTTCTCCCTTAGCCTATGTCTCTGCCTCTCTTTTGGTGTCTCTCATGAATAAATAAATAAAAATCTTTAAAAAAAAATCATCTTCTTCCAGAGATCCACATCTCAGAGGAGATACCGTGCTCTCCTAATGGTTACACTGAGGGATGCCTGGGTGGCTCAGCGGTTGGGCACGTCTGCTTTCAGCTCAGGGTGTGATCCCAGAGTCCCAGGATTGAGTCCCATATCAGGCTCCTTGGATTGAGTCTGCTTCTCCTGTCTCTGCCTCTCTGTGTGTCTCTCATGAATAAGTAAATAAAATCTTAAAAAAAAAATGGTTACACTGATACTCAGCTCAGACCTCACAACAACAGGCAGGTTGGCAGATGCTACCTAAGCACTGGACCTGGCCTTCAGGGCCTAAACCCTTCTGCCAGGCATAACCTTGGGGCCCCCAAGATCATGACTCCCAGATACAACCAAACCTGGCTTCACAACTCTACCTTGTGTGAAGCAAGGCCCTGGAGTATCAGATAACACTTCCTTTCTATAGGCACATCATTCTATGGACCATACATCTCACATCTCTGGGCACCACAGTCCCATTTTAACAGTCACCATCATCACCCCCTGCCCCACTCATCAGGGAGAGCTGGACTCACTCAAGTACTCAGCACAAGGCATCCACAGTGCTTGACCAATTCAAACATGATCCAGCACAATCCCAGACCTCTGATGGATCCCATGGCCCGGGAAAGCCCTGAATGCTGTTTTGAAGGCCTCATAGCCTTCCTCTGAACCTTTCTGCAATATTAACTACCCAGACCTACATGTGAGTTTTAAGATACCCATCCCCTCTTTATTTCTGTGCTGCACTTGCTCTCCCCTCAGCAGCCATTATCCACGTTCTCTAAGAAGCTTTCATTAAAATCCCAGTACCGGGATCCCTGGGTGGCACAGCAGTTAAGCACCTGCCTTTGGCCCAGGGCGCGATCCTGGAGACCCGGGATCGAATCCCACGTCGGGCTCCCGCTGCATGGAG